AATTGCTTATCGCTGGGCGAACTCTAGACTCCCTTTGAATTGCCTAGTGATATCACTCCATAAATAGCTGTATTTCATATGGTTATCAATAAGGAAATGGGGCCCGAGGCCAAATAAGTTCTTATCAATGGCATTGGTATAGATAGTAGATCGGTAAAACTACATAGTTACTGCAAGCAGCTTGAGAATCGCATAGTAAGGCTCTATCTCTAACAAGTTTTAGTCGAACATTTAACTCTTTAAAGCAGCTTAAGATTAAGTCATTTTCACTTCAAAAAAAATATTTATATAAATAAGTGCGCATTTCTTTGAACTACTTTTGAGTTATTCTTTAAGCTAAATGCCTCTTAAAACATTGCCAAGAATTTGGGTTAATTTTTATATATTAGAAACTCTCGAGTCAGGACTAAAAATAAAACCCTGCCCATCTTTTGGGATGTTATAATTCTATGTGTTTTTTTTTTGGGTTACGCGCGTTGGCATGCTATAAAGCTATAAAAATATTTAAAACATATATTTAATGGTCGGCAAATGCTTAAGAAAATATTTGTTTCTGCTACAGACGTAGTACATATAGTATTTATAGGGTCAGACAATTTTTTTTATAATTTGATTTGGTCGCTTGCCAAAAAGACTCGTAATTTCTGGTTCCGCCATTGTGTTTGTATTTATATATTAACGTATTTGCGGCATTTAATCAAGTTCTGGTCCACAAACAAAAACCTTGTTTTTCTTTTAAGACATATTCGATTTTTTTTTTATATAGCACTTGGCGGCAAATCTTATAAACCGTCACAAGTAAATTGTGAAACGCATAGAACAGGGGCAAAAAAAAAATCAAAAAAATAGAACATTACCCTTATGAGCTATATACATAAATTAAAAAATTAAATGACTTAGGGTCAGGGAAACTTACGCGTTGGAATTGGCTAATGAATGGCTGGCTCCTTTCTCAAGAAATTGCCGCAGTTGTTGATAAACTGAACACTTCGTATTTCGTATTTGATTTTTTTTTTTTGGCTCGACCAATCAAAAAATCGTGCGGTGTGTGTCGTCTGTTCTTTTAAATCTGGGCGCCCTGTGTTTGTGTTTTCTTTTATAGTTGATTATTTTAGCGGTTGACCGTTAGCGCGCGTCTTAACCACGAGGGCAACGCATTTGATACTGAAACCGAATTGTTGTAAACAAACTGATACAACCCCTCGCATTGGTGAAATGCTTTTGCGCCACTCAATTTGCCGTTATTTGGGCATTTGAAACACTCAAACGGCACGGCTGAACACGGACAACCCCCAAAAAGTGCGATAGAGGAGACAACCAAAGCGCTCCGGCTCAGAATGCGAACCTAACGCTGGGCGAGGCGAGGCGAGGCTACGCGACGCGTCGCGACGCGAAGAGAGAGAAAGCGTGTGTAAAAGCTGAGCGAGCTTTTCCACTTTTCCACTCAAAATGGAGCGCGACCGATAACAGTTCAGGGCAGTTGATAAGACCAATGTGTTGTTGTTGTTGCCAGTCGGAATGAGTGCTTTGCACAGAAACAGTTGTTGTTCTTATATATGGTATTTGAGTAAATACAGACTTATTGCGATAACAATTGTTGAACAAACATCAAGCGAGCGGCATGTTTATTTCTTATCATATGAAATAGCGGAGCAAAATTGTTAACCAGTCAGCCAAATTACTTATATATTATATAGTCAGCATAAACATAAAAACCGAAACGAAACGTGTCTGGTATATAAAATTGCTGCATTTACAATTCATTCATTTACTTAACTTAATGAACATACACGGTAAACTGCCAAAATGCTGATGGATTTATAATACCCTTTACTTAAGGCACACACAACAGTTGATAAGTAGAAGCCGAATATAACAAGATATTAGACACCTGGTAGATTATGGGATTTGTTTTACCTTCACCTAGAGTAATAATCAGATGTTAATATAATATCAAACAACACAATATTAAAAAGCAAGCTTTCAAACAGTTTTCAACTGATTCGTTTAATTTTATATATGAATTCAATTTGTAACGTGTTTGGCGCCACGCAAACACAGTGTTGTCAAATACGTTTGGTAAGTGTTGTGCACTCTACGCTGGATTCATCAACACTGCTCAAAATCTTAGATGCACGTCAAGAACGTCAAAAAATCGAATAACACAGAAAACACAAAAAGTAATAACAATTGAAAAAAGCAACTACTTGTCAAGTAGCTGGTCGATTAAGGATAATGCACGGAACCTACACAAGCGAGCAGCCAACAGATTTTCAGGCAGCCACCGCCGCAGCAGCAGCGGCGGCAGCAGCAGCAGCAGCAGCAGCAGCCGCTGCCTCAGCTTCAGTGTGTGGGGTGAGAAGTACAGCTGAGCAGAGGGATTTGGAGCGGGAAAGCAACAGCAATGAGCCGGACGAGTGGAGCATGAGCGAATGTGGTTTCGCGGACAACGATGTACAGCGTGCAATACGCGGCGGCAGTGCCGCCGAAGACATTACACAATACCCCATACACGGCTGGGTGGATGTGACCAAGGAGTTTCACGATGCCTGCGCCGAACTGCTGCCCGGCGAGCTGGCGCAGGATATGCTGTTTGGCTTGTTTGAGGCTATGTCTGCGATAGAGATAATGGATCCCAAAATGGATGTGGGCATGGGCTTTGATAAGTTCGATTTGCCGCCGCCCTCCTTCGAGGCGGCCGTTGCGGTGAGTTGCAATTGCCTTTACCGGAATCAGTAACTCCTCATGCACTGCTTGCATTACAGATGGGCGCCATTAAGCTGGATGGCCTGGAGCCGGCGGAGCTAATTGGCATCTTTGATGCGCTCTTTGCATGTTTGGTCTCCTGGCTGGAGGGCAATTCCATGGATCAAGTGTTATTCACCTGCCTCTATCTGCATGCACCGTCACAGATACAGGACAGGGCGCTGCGCGTCTTTTGCACCGCTGTGCGCAATCTGATTGTGGTCATTAAAAATATCATCATTCTGGCTGCTGTCAACGAGGAGGAGGATTTTCAATTGTATGGCAATTCGGCGCTGCTGGCAGCGGAAAAGGCTCAGCCCACAAGCATTGCCGGACTATTGAAAGATGTGGAGGATGAGCTGGTGCGCAAGTGCAAGCAGCTGCCGCCGGCTGAAAATCAAAATCTTATGGCTGTGGTACATCGTTTGCGCTTTATGCGGCATCTATTTCAAGCCATCTACCAAGTAGAGCTAATGGTGGGTGCAGAGAGCGCCGAGGAGGCGGTCAATGAGATTTACAAGAGTCTCAATGTGGCGTCCGAGCTGCTGCCGCTCATTAAACGAACCATTGAACGTGGCACCCAGCCCGTGGAGGGTTGTAAGTATGAGAAGTATATAATACCGGAAAGAGCTAAACAAATCTTTAAACACAACAGCCGAGGCGCCGAATCCTATGGGTTTCTCTCCGCGCATACATGACAGAAGCCAGCCACCGACATTTCCGCGCAGCATTAAGATACGCGAACGGCCCGCCAGCTATCAATTTCTGGAGGAGATGGTGGCGCGTTTCAAGTACGCTTGCAAGGTGATACGCTACAAGGACTATTATTCCGCGCTGGTATGTAATTAACTGAGTAAATATGCAGTCTATATAATTAATATATATGCTTTTCTTTCAGAACTTCTTCATCGAATATAGCCGCAAATCGGGACACTGCATACTCTCGCGCAGCGTGCTCCAGAGCTTGTTCAGCTCGAGTATACGTTTAGCACATGGCAAACAGTCGATGAAGCAATTTTTACGACATTCGGTGCAGGCATTTAATTCACCGCCAGTGCTGAATCCCAAGCATCCGGTGGCCAATGATCCCAAGGTGCAGCAGCATCTGGAAACCTTCTTTCGCTATTGCATCAACATGAACACCTTCAACCAGTTCATACGCTTGTGCGGCTTCAATCGTGCGCGGCAGCGCGATAAGCTGGCGCATCTAATTGAGAATTTCGATCCGCTGCAGGTGGATGCGGCACGTCTAGATTCGCTGATGAATCAGCTGGCCAATGAGCGTGCGATGGAGGGCAATGAGTCGCATGCGACGGCGCTGAAGCACAGCACCCACTTCTCCACGTGGGTGCTGTATAATTGCTTTCGTGCGATGCTCATCTATCTGATGTCTGGCTTTGAGCTGGAGCTGTATGCTGTGCACGAGTTTCTGTATATCTATTGGTATCCCTATGAGTTCCTTGTGGGTTTTCTGGTATCAGCGCTGACGCGCACGGAAAATATATTGCTGGCGCAAGAGGAATATGCTGAGCATCAGAGCAAAATTCAATTAAATAGCGGTGGCAGCGGTTCTGGCGGCAAGAATCGCAAGGCTGCCAAGCCCAAGAAGAATAAGAAACAGCAGCGTCCCTATCGCCAAGAGATTGTCTACTACCATGCCCTGCTCAGCCTGTGCGGCGGCATGTATAAGGCCATGGGTGCTCTAACCAAAGATGGACGAGTGCGTCTGCCCATGTCCAAGTTCGATAATGAGGAAATACGCTACAATCGACGCTTCTCGCCATTTATGCCCCTCACCAGCCCGCCACCAGTGTCCTACCCTGAGTTTAAAAATATACGCGATCACATGATGCTCAACAGCGTCGAGGAGCTGTACAGCTATGCGGCCAAGCATTTTGATCAGGCGCGCAATGTGCTCGAAAGCATACAGAATCCCGAGCAGGAGGTAGGCTTGAAAAGATTAGCGACTATTCAATTTAACTAATTGGGTTTTGTTATTGTCTTCTAGATTTTGGACCTGCTGCAAATAGCGCGCACCAATTTCGTGGTGATGAATGTGCTCGCCCGTGGCCACCAGAAGGAGGTGAAGCGTCAGCCGGAATTCGATTTTAGCAGGCATAGCTATTTTCCCATTATCAAACTGAAGTAGCTCCCAAGTTCGTGTTCATATCGCTCCTCTAATCATTAATTGTCTTAGATCTTTCTTTTACATTTTGTTTCGTCCCTTAACAAATAAAATTGGTTTGTATACAGCTTGTGCTTAAGACAATTCTGCAGCAGCTGATCCCACAATGTCCTGCTTGATCAAATACTCCTCCACGTAACCGCTTATTGGACAACTTCGCGAACACGTGTACACCGCCAGCACGCCCCAGTCTAGTGTTTCATCCTTGAGCAGCACCAGCATTTGTGGCATTATCTGGAACTCAAACTGACGTGGACCGCCGCACTGGGCACAGTTGGGCAGCGCTTGCAGCTGATCTTCAATCGTATCCGCCACATTTGCTATCCACAGGGGCTCACCTTGGCGTTTGTAGCGCACAATTTGCTCGGGTTCAGCTGCAATTTGCTGCTTGAATTTTTGAAACGCTTTGTCCTCGGCTGCCGAAGCACTGCCAAAGTATTTGTCCAGCTCCTTTTCGGGAAGATCGCTTAGCTCGCCCGTTTTGCCGCTGGCGGACAGCTGCTCATACTCTGCTAGACATGCCTGCTCGTCCTTTACAACTGCTGCAGACACCTCGCTTATTGGTTCCCTCTCCATGACTATTTCGTACAGAGGAAACTCAATTGATGGCAGGGGCTGATTGGCAGCTTCTGGAAGGCTTCCGCCGCTACAGTGGGGCTTGTGCTGCTGCCAATGTGCACGTTGGTGTGCGGCACAGCAATAGTTGATGTCCTTGCAGCGGCTGCAGGCATGAGGCGCAAAGCAGCCACAGGCGGCGCACAGTTTCTTCAAACTAGCTATGGCAGGCTGCGTGTATTGAAACAATAAGTTTGGGTAGGTCCCTTTAGAAGCAAACAACACATACCAGAGGCTCTCCATGCTCCGAGGGCTCCTGTTCCGAGTAGAACTTGTTTTTCAGCGGCAGCTGCGAACGCAGCACGGTGAAGTTTCTAGTAAGCGAAAATTAAAAGTGTTAATCTTTGCACACACACATATATAAACACTTGTTTTGCCACTTACTCCGCCTTGTTGACCTGCTGGCAGTCGCCATTCCGGCACACAAACACATAAATGCTGCGATGGAAATTGAACTCGTCCTCATAGGCGGCATACAGTTGACAGAGAAATGCTTTTTGTGCTTGACACTGCTTACACTGCAGCTGAGCTGTGCTTGGCAGCGATTCCAATTCAAGCCATGCCGGCTGTCCGCCCAATTTGCTGGGAAAGTAGCGATTACTCAGCCATGCCGCATTATTTGGCTGCTCTGCAAAACCCAAATCCACATCCATCGCGTGTTTACGTTTTGTTAGAGCGCGTGTTGTTGAACCAGCCCTGGCCAGCGAAAATCGATAGGTTAGCCTTCAAGTCAATCGATAGTTCTAGTGCTGTAAGCAGGCAAAAAATCAGTGCTGTTAAGCAAACCAAGTTTAGTCTGCTGTGAAAATGACACGACCACAACGCAGCGCATAATAATAATAATAATAGGAAAAGGTGCGTGTTACAAAGTGAAACTCAAATTAATATAAAGTGCGTCACTCAATGCATGGGCAATAGTTGTAAAAGCCAGTTGAAAAATGTGCTGCTGCTGCTGGTAGCTATTACCAGGCAAACGGTATCGATAAGTGTGCAGCTGCTGTTAAAACAATAACAACAAGCGGAAGCATTCCACTGTTCATTCGCTGTTCAGCTCGTTTCGCACATCGTTTTGGTTTGCTACTGTCGTGTGCTAAAAATAGAACTTTAACCACCCACGCAAAAAAAAAACAAAAACGCATTTAATTCGGCAACATTACTAAACAGTGTGTGTTTGACTTAAACAGCGATGCAGATGCACCGAATTAATAAGCAAAGCAATAACAAGAACAAAAGCAACGATGAGGAATCTCTGTAAGTTTATTTCCTGTTTTCAGTCTTTTTTGGTGTTTGTGCATAAGCTTTTCTGTGATGCTTTTCTCTGTGTGTGTGTGTGTGTGGGTTTTGCTAAATTTAGTAATGCATGTGCTGGGCTGAAAATAAGAATTGGAACACCCTGCCGTATGCTTTGCCGGCAACGAACTAACGGGTCACACACGCACACATACATGCCTGTATACACGCAGAGACACACACACACACACTTTTTGTCACCTTGCCAAGAAAAGTGCTTTAAACTGTTGCGCCAAGTGTCCAATAGCAAGATTGAAAAATACTTTAAAATATAAGTAAGCACGCACAGACGCACACACACGCAGAATGCTGAGGTCAAATTGTCAAAATCAATAAAGATCCAATAATTTCAGTGCTCTGAAGTGCTTTGTAATTTCAGCAAGAATTTTTACAAATTTACTTAAAACATTACAATTAGCGCTCCGAGTGTCGTCAATGTCAATTCGGGCTGTTCATTAACATTCATTTGCGCGAGCATGTGAAACGCTCTACAACAACAACAACAACAACATTGCATCGTTGCTTACAATTAACGGCGCAGTTAAAGCTTGTCTCTAGGCTAGGTGCTTGCCTCTCACTCCCACGCTAATAAGTATACGACGCGTAGTTTCTTTATTTACGCACATGCATAAAAGCTCAGGCTAAGAGAGACTTAAAAGCTTGCTTGCTGATCAGGCCGTTATTTCTCTGTGTGTGTGTGACTTTGTGTTTTTGTTATTGGGCTCGTTTTGCACTTCATTTAGTTTTTATTGATTTTTTGCTGCGTTGTTCAGCACTGCTGCAGTCTGCGCTCTTTGTTATTGTTGTTTTGAGCGGCATTCACTTGGCTTTACAGTGTAAACTTCAAAGGCTTTTGTTTTCTTCTGTTTTCTTTTCTTCTGCAGTTGCTGTTAGCTGCTGTTGTGTGTGCTTTACACCTTTTTAGATTTGTTGTGCTCTCTCTCTCTCCCACTCGCTCTTACACGACAACTCTTGAACTGTTCACTTTCTACAGCTTTTAGTTTGTTTTTGTTTGCTTTTTACCCATCTCACGTTTCATGTTGCAAGCGTTGTATGCCCTACCCGGGCCTCCCGCCGTTCCCCTGCACTTTGCTTGGCCTCGTAAAATATACAAATTAAAAGTTGGAATTGTTTTTCTTTTCTCTTCAACTGCTTATTAAATGTGCAGCCAACTTTGACATGCATTTCAGCTAGCAATCGCTGTGTTTTTCACTCCAACTTTGTGGCTTCATCTAATTAAAAATTGCCCAGCACTGCTGCCACGCCTTCTGTTTGTCGCCTTTTAAAAATCAGTTTCTGCACCATTGTCATAAAAACCCCTTGCAGCAGGACAGCTGCCAAGGCTAATAAGATTTGAGTAGGTTTATAAGCTCATGGCACTCTGCCACCCCCTTCATGGCGCCAAAGTAAACCCCCTTCCACCCCTGACCCGCACTTTAAATTGAATTTGTCACCGTGCAACTGCAGCGCCAGCTTTATGAGCCAGCCCAGACAAATGGCCACCTCGCCAGTTGCTGATTTGCTAATAAAATATGCAGATCGTTTGTGCAACCGAGTGACTAATAAACTTTTAAAACAGTTAGCAGCTGTGCAAAGCGCAAAGATTTATGTACTGGATGACAATGCAAATACCCTGGAATACAAATGAATAATTCTGTTCTCTCGAAACTGGTGCGCTAGACTGGAAGGTCGGACACATTAGATTATATCGGCTCCTTATGGTGCCCAATATGCTTTATTTTATTCCCAAATATATATAATTCGATAGTTCGATAGACAATTGCTTATCGACCTGTTACAGTGTTGGAAATCACAAAATTAAGGAGTATTTATGGGGGAAATACAATAATGAGTAGAAAATAAACGATTGAGTCATGTTAATAGCATTACGAAGCAAACTGATTTTAATTATGAAATCATTCATGGCTCGTAAGCAAGTTAATATCTGAGTATTCATAATTTTCACCAGCCTATCGGGATAAACCGCTTTTTACCTTTACTATATTTTGTTCTTTGAATGAATCTTAATTTCGCTAAGCTATTTTGCTTGTATCCAATTGGCACACAATAATTTATTCAATGATCCACTCATCTAACCCAATTGCGAAATGCAGTTTGATGGCTCGATATAAATTTATATACCTCTATATATATACTATAAGTACATATGAATAACAATTAAGCAGACGCTTTATTGATATGCCAAGTGGTCGTTGTTGTTGCTGTTGTTGGCTTCGGTTAGCGAATCTAATCGTAGATTGCACATGCCGGTCCTCAGCTGATGCCCATGCCCGGTTTGCGGCGGATGGGGGATGGGCGGATGGGGGAAGGGCGGTTGGTTGGCAAAGGCTCTGATAAGTATTAACTAACAGTCATTATCGATGCGGCTGCCATAGCCAAAGGCAGGCAACAGCTAGCAAACATGTTGCCATTGTTTACTCTATCAGCGTCCATGCACATAGTTGTTGTCAAATAAATATAGCTATATATGCATATATATATACATGTATATATGTGTATATATAGTGCTTTATATATTTGTGCTGATAGCTCGTGCGTGCGTCATGCCGGATGGCGTTTGTGATTCATATGCCAAGTTGCCAGCCATTTGGGCAGACTCTGCATTTAGACTGGGCCACTTGAATGGGGCCAGAATTGGGCTCGTGCCCAACTAACACACACACACACACACACTCACACACAATGTGCGCCCGCTCGTTATTGTCAGCCGTTAAGAGCATTTGCTTTGAAAATCAATAAAAGTCTTGATTTAAAGATGCAGCCTTGAATTCATTTCTATACCCTTTAAGAGGGTTTTCCTGTTCGGTAAGGAAGTGTGTAACGCGTCAAAGTAGACATCTCTACCATATTCTAGATTGCCATCGAGAGACGATAAGTTGGTTTGTTTTTAAAGCCAACTTGTCGCACAATTTGAAAATTATTTATATGGTGTATACAAACATTGACCGCTACTCAAAAGGGCGACTCAGTTGTTGGTCCTGGTTAAAATGATTGCAATTCTCAACAAGTTAAAGCTCACTCACTGAAACTGAGTTTTTACTAGGGTATTTAATGTTCGACAGCCAGCAAAAAACACAGTTCCTTTCTATTTTTATTGTTTTTCTCTTATGTGTACTTATATTTCGCTCTGATTTTGCCTTGCAGGAGCGGCCGTTGCATTGAATGAGTGTCCTTGGCGTTGCTGCATCACGCTGTCGCGCCACGCCACAATGTCCGATTTTGTACCCTGCGATTTATTGCCAGATCTTTGGCAGGAGATACTGCAATGCCACTGGACGTTTCTGGAAACCGAAGAGAGTCCGCAGAAGCTCGAGGAGCGCAAGAAACTTGAATGTGAGTACTAGGTAATACACTGATTGCATTAACGTAATCGAAATGCTGTTCATTTTTCTTTGCCAGGCTGCCTGAAGGAGTTTCTGTGCGTGGTGCCGCACGATCGCAAATTCTTCTTGCCCGAAACGGGGCATGTCCTGCGCAGAACTGTTTGCGAGCTGAACGACTTTACGGCACAGAATGCCATTGTTGGCTTTGAGGCCGTCAGCCAGTATGCCAACAATTTATTCACAAAGCCCTGGCGCAAGGAATTTCGCACGCTTAAAGTAAAAACGCCGCAGAATATTCACGAAAAATTCCCCAGAACTAATCTGATTTCATATTTGCAGACCTACTCCGGTTCCTTTCAGCATAACGTTGAATCAAATCTGATCGATGCCGAAAGACTGTTTCTGGCCATGGGCTACCGTCGCATTAGCGAGGATACGTTTGTGCTGGAGGGACCCATTTGCCCCGACCAGGTGACGAATGTCTCGCGCGATGCGATGGCCGCATATGTCGAGTGCCAAATTATGAAACACATCTATGCGGGCCTCAGTGCCGCCGGCTACAGCTGCAGCTGGCAGGATATATTCCATTATAGGGAACGACACGTCGGCGGCACAACGCACTCCATCAAGGAGCTGGCCTATAGACTGCACGAGCTGCGGCTGCGCAAGGAGCAGCAACATCAGCATCAGCAGCAGCAGCAGCATCAACAGCAGCTGACAACGGAGAACACCTACAGCAACATCGCGCCCAATCGCAGTGACGGCTGTACGGCGGAGAAGTCTGCACCAGTTGCCGCCTGTGCGCTGCATGGACCTGCTAATAACAATGCCAATATCTGTGCGCTGCATGCTCCCGCCCATCAAACCGCCCCGCCCACGAATCTCAATTGCATGTATCAGCAGCAGCCGCAGGGCGCTTTGATGACGCACTCGCGCAGCCTGGAGCATTATCAGGAGCCGCATACGGCGCTGCCACAGCGACACTCATTTGATCAGCATCCCAAAGATTGTGCTGCACTGCATCCACATGGACATTTGTATGAGGCACCCTACGATTGCCTGGACGGGCTCAGCATGGGCAGCAGCGCCTCGTATGCGGCTGTTGCTGGCGCTTACAATGCGCCCGGCAATCGCTATCCGCTGCCCTACAACATCTCCAGTCAGCTTAATGCGCCCTATGCCACGCCCCTGGATGGCTACGGCAATGTGGAACAGAACAATGCGAACATGTATGCCAGCATAGGCAACAGGCCGGCGACAGCGGTTCCCCACAGCTGTGGCTACCATGGCGGTCAGCTGGGCGCAGCAGCACGACATCAGCCCAACACTGCCGCCGCACTGGCCGCCATGCAGCACAGGCAGAGCACATATCCGCCGGATCACCATCTAATCGACTTCGATGAGCGGGCGCAGCTCATGCAGCATGACTTTAACGATCCGCGTCAATACGAACGACGTGGCCAGCGTGCACAGACGGCCAAGCATGGCATGAGCAACTCCATGTATGCCCAGCCCCGGGATGCCATGGCCATGGGCTATGCTGGCGGCTACGATGTGCCTGCCATGCTGCCGACGACTTTGCCGCAGCCGACGCCGCAGGATATGTATGTCTATGCGCGGCCTGTGCCTAAGAGCAGCCGCATTCGCACCAAGGTCGAGACGGGCGACAAATCAGCGGACAGGCAGCGAGAGCCAATGATGGTAAGTGACGAGCTGAAAAGATCATAAGGCATTATTAGTTGTGCGGTGAAATGTAGAAGACCAGGTTTGCGAACCGTGAACAAAGCAAGCGAGTCTCCTTTTATAGCCTGAATCCATTGAAAAGTTGTTCTGCAAATTTGTGTAACAGGCAGAAGGATGCATCGACTCAATAAAGTATATAGATTCTTGATCAGGGCGACGAGCTGAGTCCAGCTAGGCATGTCCAACTGTCCGTCTATGCAGATATAACAGACCCAACAATATAATATATACGAATTATTCATCTGCCTTCATCCCATATTGAAATACCTCGCAATTGGGGGTATCGACTAGACCTATTTGTTTTCTGTTCGGTTGCTAACTTGCGTTTCTTTCTAGGATCCCCTGGATAATAATCGCAAAACGACGCACAAGGAATTGAGGGAACGCATTAGTCTGACTGCCGGCGCAGCTGATGGCCGCCAGCATATGCGGGAGCGTGACCTGAACATCTCGGATGGCACCAGCTATGAGTCGGCCAGTCTGGATGATTTCACGGCGCTGAGCAGCGCATCGCCGCCGCTGATGCCCAAAGTGCAGGAGGGTGTTGGCAGTTTCGAGTCCTGGAACTATGTGTTCAAGAATCTGGAGCGTTCCGGCTACTCCAAGGATCTGGGCGATCGTGAGGATTTGCTGGTGCAGAGCTTGGATCTGGATTCACTTAACCTGGCCAATGGTGGTGCAGCCGCCGATAAGCGGCGCGGCACCGAGACGCACACACAGCCCGCGGCTGTGGAAAAGTCGCGCACGCTGGAGAAGAAACGCGAGCCGCGCATTGTGCAAGCGGCACCACCAACGCCAGCGCTCAACAGCAGCAGCCCCGGTGTGAAAAAGGTGAAATCCGCTCTAAAGACGGCCACCATAGACAACAGACCAGGCGGAGGTAGCGGAGCGCGGAGTCGCGGTAGCGCAACGGGCGCTGTGGCCAAACAGCCGCCGCCGGTGTCGACGCAGCTGATTGTGACCAGCCCGAACGAATGGAGCTGTCGGTTCTGCACGTTCCTGAATCCGGACACGAAACGCATCTGCGAGATGTGCTGTCGCAGCAAGGACTTTAATCTGGAGGCGGCTGCAAATGTCTCGCACGCATCCTCCACCTGTGTCTAGACTATGTTAAATCCTGCACATGCTACAATATGAAATAAGTATATATTTACTACATGCATATATATGAAAACTGTACACCACGCAAGTGATAGATAGAAAACACAGTATGAGAGGAGTTTTGGATATATACAACTACACATATAGAACTTATATATTTTTTATACGAAATTCGTCATTACAACAAACTGTGTGCATGTTTATAGAAAGTTCTCTAGTCTTATAGCATCTACGATTTCAATCACAATCCCTAGCATTATGTACATACGAGACATACATACTTACATACATACATTATAAGTAATATATTATTCATATTATGAATTACAATTTAAGTTTTCGATTAGACTTGTGTACACATGCTTTAATTAGATCGTAGATATGTTTCCATTTGTTGTGGGCGTCGCGTTTATGTTGCAAATGATGTGCCTACACCTGATATAGTCGCATAAATGTATGAATACTAACTATATAATATAAGTAGTAACTGTATAGTTGTGTGTGCCTGCGAGTGTGCGTCTGTAAATAGTTTATTAAACCAAGTTACAAAAAGAAATACAAAAAAATATACATATATATATATATTGGAAAGCCAAGTATATTTATTATGCGTATATATATACAATACATATATATATATATACATATATTTATTGTATGCTAGACTAACTTTTCATAAATACCTTTACTACATACAATATAATCAATTCAACTTGAACGAGCTAAACCAATGGGGAAATACAATTAGTACTGAACATGTTTTCACTTATATTTTTTATTAGCAGCTCCTTAGTACACATAAAGATTATGCAATAAGAGTGAGAGACAGCAACTATACATGCGTACATACATATATACCCTCTATATACATAATATATAGTGCCACGCAATCTTTTGTTTTTGCCCACCATGCCACACCGAACGCCCAACGCCCAACGCTAAAAAAAGTGAGGAAAAGAAAAAAGAACACTTAATTTGTTTGTTAATTGTTGCTAAACGAAAATGTTAAATGAAACCTTAAGCAAAGTAAATAATAATATTTTTTTATGCGAAAAAGATTTAAAAAAAAAGAAAGAAGGAAGGAAAATAATGTACCTTTTTGTGATTTATTTGATTTGTTGTTAATCTATTGCGCCCTGACATATAGAAGATATGTAGTTCAAATTGTATCAGTTGATATTAGCAGAAAAAAAATAAAAATAAATTAAATAAATATATGAAGAAAAAAAAAACACAAACCAAAACAATCAAGAGTTAAAACAATTCGATTTTCAACTTTTCTAAAATACTAACTAAAAACAAAGTTAAAAACAAATTACATACAATTTATATTGCATACTCAAAAAAAAAAAAAAACAAAGAAAAACTAAAACCAAAATAAATGAATTTATAGGCAAAAAAACTCTTCCTAAAATCCCAGCAATAAATTAAAAAAAAAAAAAGGAATACACTTTGAATTTTTGAAAAATAAAACTGAAAAAATTATACAAAAAAATTAAAAAGCAAAAAAACATAAAATCTTTGCATTGTGCTTCAGAAGTTTTGATATTTTTGTAGTCTAAAATATTTTACTTAGTTTTTCTACCTATTTTCCACTTTTCTAGATCTTAAATAGCCCCAAAATTCTCGGTTAAGTTTTATGAGGCTGCTGTCGTTGCAGCTGTTGCTGGCCCTGCTCCAGCTTGCCAGCGGCTACAACTATTGCCGCAATGAGAGCCATTTGTGCAACATGGCTAATAGGCGGCATTTTATATGCAATGTGGACACTGAGCTGGTGATACTGATGTCCCCAAGCATATGATAAGGAATTAATTGTAACTCTTTTGTGCGCGCAGCATCCACTTTTTTATAGGGCTAAATTTTTGGGCATCGTACCGGACACATTGCCATTCCGCAAACTTATATTAGACTATCATAATAAGTATCGGAATATGGCGGCTGGTGGCGAATTGGTCACGGATGGCAATGAAACCTTTCCGGCTGCCTCACGCATGCGTGAACTCATCTGGGATCTGGAACTGGCGTATATGGCCCGTGTACATGCCGCCACGGTATCCTTCAAGCACACGATTTGCCGTTCCGTTGTGCGTTTTCCGCATGCCGGTGAAAATCTGAGCCTGGTTCTTGCCAATAACAAACGTTTCTCGGTTAAAGAGTTGCTCGACTTGGCGCTCTTCCCCATGTTTGAGGAATATAGAGCGGTTCTGGATCCCGTTGATCTTCTCAAAGATTTCGACTCCAACAAGTAAGTTGCACTTTTCAAATCGAGATAATGCCCCATTCCATCAACTCTTCCAGCCACCACCTTGTGGGCCACTTTACGCAGATGGTTAGTGATCGAGTCTCCAGGTTGGGCTGCGCCTTTGCTATAGCAACAAATTGTGAATCAAATAATAGTGTTGAGTATGCAATATATTTCTAATCGCACACCACACAAATCGTGTACTTATTGATTTGAAATTCTTGAACAGCTTTTGCCACTTTATGACCTGCCATTACGACTTTACCAATATGGAGGGTTCGTATACATATAAGATTGGCAATGCCGCCAGCAATTGCGGCACTTGGGGCGCCTGGCCTAGCTCCAAGTATCGCAATCTGTGCACCAACAACGGCGATATATTTCCCAAGGATCATGGCGATAAGGATCGCAAGCTCCACAATGTGGAGTAATATTTATATATTGTATGTATATTTTGTTGTTTATTTTCCATCTTATTGTTCAAAATCATATTTTCAGATAGTTTTCCAATGCCGAATTGTGACATTCATTCCCTGTCCAAGCTGGATAAATGTGTCAAATGATTGTAATCATGTTTAATTGTTTTTATAATATATTTTTGAATCTTTAATTTCGTCTAGTTCGATTGATACATAAGCAAAATATTTACTAATTAATATCAACTAACGGCTAACAGACTTAGTCAGTTTTCTTTTTTTTTCTTCTTTTTTAATATATACGAGTATAAACAAATACTTTTTGAGTTATATATACCCCGTATCGTATATATATACGGGTTCGATCTCTGCGCGATTAATGCAAGTACAATTGGTTTTTAGTATTGAGTTTAGATTCTGAGCTTATTTGCCTCGTTGGCGAATGAAACCCGCTTGCTTAGATAGTACGGAACATAGTTAAGGTGCCTGGGATTTGGATTCTAAATGCCTTTGCTCTGTGACTCGCTGCTTTAACAAAATCAATAATATATATATATACCATATACCATATACATACATGTATATAGCGAAATATGATGAAATCCATTTGGAAAAATATCAGACTAAATATTTGCGCTTCGTTTTAAAAATATCAGCATATATTTGTAATAAAAGTTAACTTTGTTTCGCCTCGATAAGGCTAGAATTTTAGTTTCTTTTTGGTTTTCATAATTCCACACACTTTGACCAGCACAAAAGTGCCAACTGTTCGCATCGTTGTTTTGCTTAAGCTACATTTAGGTTTTTTCTTGATAATAATAATAATAATTATAATAATAATTGTGTGTGGGTACGTATTATGCCTATATTTTCGTACGAGTTCCTAGGGCACGGGAATGCCGCCTCCTGCACTTGTCTATTTTGCATTTCTAACGTTTTGCCAGCTAAACATAATTCTTCATATAGAAAAATACATACAAATTTATCTTTTTACTTTTCGATACATCTAGAAAGCCGCCGCTACTTTATAATTTGACCATTTCGACAAACTTCTGACAAGCTCGGATTTAGAAGGGGATTCCATGGGGCTTACAGCTACTGCAGTTAAAGGTTTTTGACAGTTTATCAATTATGCCTCAAATCAAATTATATTTATATATATATATATTTGTTTCAATTGGTTGCAGGCTTTGCATAAATTTTGGTTCTAAAATGGAACACATTTAAGGATATTCAAACTTGTGTCTTGCAAGGTGGGTTTTGAAATGTTTTTATTTTTTTTATCAATTCGCAAATCGTGTTTAATCCTTAGAAAGAAAATGCATTTAGTTAGAGATCCGATTCAAAAACTTCTCAAAAAAAGTTGAATACGAATTTTTATAATAATTTTCAAAGTCTACGTTTGGTGGCTATAAATAAATAATTCCATTTGCCTCATTGTTTATTTTATCCAGTATAATTGAATATTTCAACCTAATTCGCATAGGCTACGCGGTGCAACATTATTCCTACTGCATTTTGTGCAAACTGCTTGCGCAAACGGCTTGTGCAAATAACGTCAATTTAATGCCAAACATATTTTCTGTTGCTTATACTAAGTTTGCTCTTCATTTGGCTTTTTCTAGAAAAACAATTTGCATTTACATAAAACATTTGTTCAGCAATCTCTTCATATGCAAAAACCACAAAAAAAACCCGTATCCTTTACAATATCTGACAGCCGGAACCGTGCATTACCTCGCTGATAAACATGGGCGTGCCAGCTCCCAATCCGCCATCTGTTTTCTGATGTTCGTTCTGCAAAAGAAAAATAAAAATGATATGAATCACATATAATAATACTTGCGGGTAGGTATAAAATAAAACCAAAATTACAAACGTTTCCGCCAATGTACCACTGTTGCGGGTGGAATTTGCCCAAATGGCTGAAACAGGTGAAAATAAGTTTGAAGCAAATCGGACGAAAATTAAAATTTCGGCCAAAAAAATCTTGTAACGCATTTCTATCGAGGAAGCTTGGATTCTGCGAAAAGTGTGAAAACACGACTCAAACAATTTTTCTTATAGATCTTTGGAAATCTTTAACTCCCATTTTCACCAAGGAGGGATGGATTTTCCAAAAAGTGCGAAACACCCCTCAAATGAATTTGAACAAAGATCTTTGAAAATGAGTTTGAGGCCGAACGGATGGCAAACAAAAAGGGTCAAACAAACGTTATTCGCGATTTTTCCACACTTGCGGATGGAATTTTCCGAAACCACTTTTTTAACCAATCGATTTTTAGTTTGTTTGAATGCCAATTTATAGTAGGGATCCATACAAATTCAAAAAGGTATAACATTTCAAAATCAGACGATATTTACGCGAGTTAATCAAAAAAAAGTCAACAAAAGAGATTTGATTTTCGAACCGACCCCTCATTTTTGGTCAACTTTTTTCAACAAACTAAGAGTTTACTGTTTTTGTGTTTTTTTTTTGCCATATCTGCCCCACAAAGGGGGAATAGACAAGCAAAACCAATGGTTCCTAGATGACCCATTTATCTTTGGTTTTTTTTTACCCTAGCAAAGATAACGTCCTAACGAACCTAAATGACCGAAATAGTCAAAAAATATGAATCTTTTTTCTTTCAGCCATCGCCCAGCAAATCCCCACCACCCAGAGAGAGGACCGAAGATCCCTGCAAAATCCGCACGGAAACAGCCATTTAAAAAACGCGAAAAAATGCCGTTATAATTTTGAAGATTCTTCGTATTTTTGCGATATTTGAAATAAAACATGTTTGTGATGCTTTACATGGCTATATGTCTAGTAAATTAAGTACTTTCCAGAAAAGATAAGGAGTTTAAAATCGTTAAATCAAGTTAAGTCAATAAAGCTCAATAATAAAGAGCCTTAATATATTTCTTTACATTATTTTAAGAGCTTTGATATAGAAAATGGAGAAATTTTATGGGACCTAAGCTTGAAAACAGATTATGTTTGTGTCTAAGATTCAGTTTGAGGATTTGAATGGATTATTATCAAAGTTCTTTAAGTTGAGTATTAGACTTGGATCAGTCGAAGGAAACATAGTTCCTTTAATTAATATCTGATGTAGAGAAAACCAAGTTACTTCGTTGTTGCTTATAAGCCCTATTCTCCTTGGAGGATTTAGGATATATATATCCTCCAAGGAGAAAAGGGCCTTTAAGAAAGAATATAGATTTCATCTATTGAGTGTGTTTAATGCTTACATCATCGTAGTCGCAATCGAAATAATGGCTCTGACAGTCCATGCAGCGGCAGCTTTCGGACATTTTGCACGTTATGCCCCACTGCTTGGCTAGATCCTTGTAGATCTCCTTGGAGGTCTTGTTGCTCATCATTTCCGGCGTAAGCAGGCAGCTCTGCTCCTGCTGCTGCTGTTGTTGCTGACGACGTCCACGAAGGCCTCTCGAGGAAACTGAAGTGGAGCCAGAGCCCGAGGCACAGCAGGCCTCGTTGCAGGATTGTGCACTGCTGTTGCCCGATGCGGCGCCATTGGAGCAGCCAGCTGGGCGTGGAAAGAGCGTTAGATTTGTGCAAATGAAATTGGATTTTGACTTACGCTCGCTGCCATAGCGATTTAGCAGCGGATCATAGAAATTGTGTCGGGCCGCGTTGCTGGTGCTTGGCTCCTCGCCGTCCTCCTCGGATTCTATGCCAAGGTGGCTGCTGCCGCAGGCGGCCTGCTCGCCGCACTCTGTGCATTCGGCGTCCGTGCACGGCTGCTGCCCATCGCTGGCATCGCTGCAGGCGGCATAGAGATTATCCTTGTTGGCACGCGAAGCAGCCATTTCGGTTTCCAATAGAAACTCGTTGACGCTCAGCGTGCACTCCTCGTTCTCGCTGTGCTCCAGCTCCAGCTCGGTGACGCCCTCGATGATGTGCGGGTGGACCTGATGCTCCCGTTGCTCCAGTTCCTCGCCGTCGTTGTTGTTGTTGCTGTGGTTGTTATTGTTGTTGCTGTTGTTGTTGTTGTTGCGGCTGCCACAGTTGCTGCTGTTGTTATAGTTCTGCTGGCAATCCGGATCGTTGCAAATGTCGTTGCTGTCGCTGTCGCTGTTGCTGTTGCTATTGCTGCTGTCATTTAGGGTCAGCTGCTCCAGGGCGGCGCTCAGATGAGCAGCGCTCTGCCGCGAGCTATTCGCCGAGCTGCGTCGACTGTTCTGATTGGGCGTAGCACTGTTCTCCGACGACAGCTGCCGTTGATGCTGCGAGAGGCGCGTGTTCTGTGTGTTAAACCTAATCAGTATCTGTCTTGGCATAGCTATCAACCATTCCATTTACCTCTTCTAGCACATACTCATAAGTGGGCGGCGGTGTGGTGGGCACCTTGTTGCTATCCGTTCCCGTTGCCGTTTCGCTGATGCACGGTGTGCGACTCGGGTTGACATAGCCTGCAAGATAATCTCGAGTTTAGAAAAAAACGAGCATACAAATTGCTTTAAATTTCTTATTGGTTTTGTTGCTGCGGTTGGGTTTGAGGGGGATGTCATGCAAATTTTGAGCCCTGCATACACTCAAAAAATATATATTCTATGCCCTGGAAACAGGTGAAATTAATGTGGAACGACATAAAACAAAGTAAAATATAAACGGTCCTTGGCTTTATTTTATAAGTCTTGCCCGTTCCGTACGGCTCCGATTCTAGAATTGAATCCTTTATTCCTCTTTTTGTTTTATTTTGAATGAAGTATCGATATCGGTGACAATATTGATGACAATATCGATAATTCAGAAATCTTGCACTGGCTTGGTTATTATCTTATTATATAATATGGTTACATTGATTACATTCAAATTCACATTCGGTTGGTTGTCGATCTTACACGTTTAGGTAGCCCAGAGCTTTGTAAGATTTCCAAAAGTTGGGTATAGAATAAGAAATCGGACATATATTTCGCTATACCCATTTCAATGGAAATGAAACAATTCACGTGGATCAGTGGATATGGATATAGAAATGAACAAATAGAACAGTGAAAATTATACAAATTAACAAATTAGTTTGTGGAGTTGGCTAACTAAAGCCTTGGCAACTGTAGATAAGAAAATGTATAACTCGTTGTATTCTTTCTGTTTTCCAATATTTCAATTCAAATAAGTCAAAAAACACGGATTACTCTGAGTGTAAGCGGGGCTTAATAGTGCTTTAAGGGGCCATGCATTGTGCGCATTTCCAAACAAACAAAATAAACCAAATTGTCAAGCAAATAATAAACGCTTCCTTGCATTAATAAGCATCCAAAATAATGCAGCATGCTGTAAAATCACATTTAAGAAAAATGGGGGAGTAAGGAATTGTGTGTTTGTATGATGATTGAGTAGTTTTAGTTATTGTTTTGGTATTTTTTAACCTGTTCTTACCCATACGTAAACTGTTGGTATTATTGCCAGCTTTACTTGGATTCGGAGGCAGCAGCAGCTTCCGTTCGCTCATTGAACCGAGACTGTTGCAATCAACTGAATCAATTGTGGAACTACTGGCACCAACTGCCTGATGTTGTTGTTGTTGTTGTTGCTGGTGGTGGTGTTGCTGCTGCTGCTGATTTTGTTCCTGTTCCTGTTGCTGTGTGCCCAATAGCGCCTCGTTTACTGTCGGATCCGGATCATGCTCTTGCGATGTACTCGTGCTTCGCGAGCTGCCCATGCGAAATTTGAGTTTAAATGGCGCCATTTCGCTTTTAATTCTGAGTATTCCAATTGCTAATGCAACGGTAAGTATGGGCTTTTTCTGAGTTAGCTTTTTAAATGAGCATTGGTTGGCGATGGGATTTTTTTTGTTTTAATTTCGATATCAAGTTGTACAACACTGATGCAAAGAAGGTGATCGAAGGTCACAGGAAGAGAGAGAGAGTAAGAGCGAGAGAGAAAGAGAGAAAGATATATAGGTAGAGCGTTTATGAAGAGCGATAGATTAAGTTAAAAATTACAATAGAGTTTTATATGTGGTTATCACATCAATTACTGGTAAGAAATAAACTCATAAAATCACAGCGTAGAGCTTAAATTATTTGGAATTCATATTATCAATTTTAATACGTTTGATTTTTACTTTGATTTATGTTGCATGCAAATTTAAAAAAATAAAAAAATATACAAATTTTCGTTTGTTCATTAAATTACTAAATTTTACCTGCAAGCCACAGAAGAGACCCAAGCAGAGCTGCAATTAATTAATATAAAATTGGTAAATATTAACTTACATATTAACTTATTGCACACGTTTCTCAAATTAATTATGGCCTTAATTAATCAATTTGTTAAGGTTTTTCGTGCTGCAAAATCTGCGATAATCAACGCATTTTCTCTTGCAGCCGACATGATTAATGTGAATTGCTGTAACAAATACGCAAATTGACAGGCCAAACAACAAACAAACAGACATACAGCCACATGTGGCACACGTGTCAGCAGCTGCTGCCTCGCGCTGCTCATTATATGAGGCACGTGCCACATTGCTCATACGCCCCGTGCAACTAGCGCATGTGTTTATGTTTATTAATTGCTTGCGTTTGGCCCAACTGCCTTTTGCCTTAAAACAGCGCACACTACATGTCCTTGCCAGCACACACACACGCACACCCGCACACACCTGCTTATGTTTATAGTTTTTTAGTGCGCGACAAGTTGTAGCCAAATTTGGCACGCGCCCGCTCGGCTTTTTAAAAGGGGGCCAACAACACCCACTCGCCGCTCGGCATATGCCTTATTGTCATGCAGATTACACAAAAGCCACTTAACGCTTAGAGCGTTCCTCTCGGAGCTGCTGTTGCCGCTCCTGCTGCTGTTCTATGTGGACCTGGTTATTATTATGCTTATTGCCAGGCAGAAAGAAAGCAAAAAAAAACTCATTTCCTTTGCGGTGAGTTGCAAATTGGTCTCTTGCCCCAGGTTGTTGCCACGCAGCAGCTATCTGCCTGGAACTCATCTTCATGCTGGCCTTTAAAACAGAATGCTTAAAGGGTGCGCCTGAATAAATCTACTCAAGCTCTTTATACAACAATAGCCAGGAGTACCTCGTGTTTAACCACGTCTACACAGGCAGAGTTTATTGAAAAGAAAAGTAATATTTACGTGCAATCATAATCTAATTGGTATTGACATAACAAATACTCGAGCACACACACCTAAATAATATATATATATTTATTTACCCTAACACTTTGTTGATTGCAGGCACGGAGAAAAATGATTGTGAATTGTTTGTATAAGCAAAAATATATAGGCGGCTTTAAAAATAAAACAATATTGCATCTGGTTTATACTATCTATAATGGAATTAATCTGATTAAAAAAAAACCAATTGGGATTGTATTGCAACGGGCATGAATCCAACTAAAAGCCATCTGGTTGGTTGGCAACGCGTGGAGGGATAAAAGTTCTTAACTTAATTGATACATCGAATTGTTGCATACTCTTGGGCTTTAAAATAATGGCGCTGCAATAATGTAACTCAGGCACAGTCCTGCATAGTTTTGAAGGACATGGTGCCCTAGGATCACAAGGACCTATCCCTCCCATTTGCATTAAAAGATGGGGGTCATCTATGAATCCGGGATTTGTCAAATTTCAGACGTGAGGCGTTGATAGCCCTGGTCCATGGTATACGTTTGACACAGGACTCCTTAGAATCCACAAGGATACAGCCGAGCTACGGCCTTCTTTTTACGCAGACATCGTTTCTTTTATCCTTGAAGGGCATCCATTCGACATTTTTAATTACATATTCTTAATTAGCAGGATATTCAAAGGACATCAGGCGTGACCTCAAAATGGCCAAGGCGACTTTTTTATTAAAGTCGTTTTTAGTGAAATATATAGAAATGGCCATATTCTGGCATGTTTCGAAAGGACATGGTGCGTTGGGATACAATATAGGGTCATCTAAGAATCTAGGAATGTGTATAGAAACCATCTCAATCGACCTACGTTACAACATTGTTTAGGAATCCAGGGCTAAACCACCAAAGGATATGTGCGGTAAGTCACAATCCATTCTGGAGCCTGTCATGTGGCGCAGGACAAAGAACGCAACATAAATGTGAGCCTCTGGATTCGCATTGTTAAGGCCAAGCCTAGCGGTTGGTGTGCTGGACCAGAGTCCTGGCACGTCAGCCTGCTGGGATTTGAGTTAATAAATGATTTGTCTGTGCTGCAGTTTCAGTTGTGCTGCAGTGCCAAGTCAATTGAAATGGATGAGTACGATAAGTAAAAGGGAAAGAACGGGCAGTGCAACCAAGCAGGATATCAACAGATAGATAGATAGATGGATATATATATATCGGTTAAGTGCCGTGAACAACTGACCCTGAGCTTATATAGTAACTGCTTTTGGTGTGACATCTACCTGACTCTGTTACCTGGAACTTTGACTTGCAACGTTTGCCTTGGGCTCTGACTTTACATCCCGCTGCCTCTCTGTGGTATAATCTATTAATACCCTTAAACTAGGTCACAGTTTCAATTCGCTGCATTTGACAGCCTAATAAATGATACATGCACTCGTATAACAAACTACACTCAACTGAATTTTCAATGAACGAATGCCTATCCAAACGGAAAACTTGATTTTCACTTACAAGTGCATTTTCTTTTCTTACTAAAATTGTAAATGCAATGCATAAGGAAATGTGTTTAATAGTCAATGTTAGATATAAAGGTGTGCATCTTTGCATAAAAAACGTATAAAAGGAAACAGTTTTTTATAGGGGAATAGAAATACTCAGAGTAAAGTAGTTTAATTCAAAATTAAATATATCTGGATATGAGACGAAATTTATGTTTATAAGAACAGTTTTTATCAATTATTTAACAAATGATTATTTAAAACTATAAAGAAACAAAAAGCAAGCGCTCTGCCAAGATAACTTGCAATGTTCATAAATATGAAAGCGAAAGATGACTTAAAAGCAGGGAGATGTATTTAAGTACAGGTCATAAAATCAAAATGATATTTTTATTCATCACAAAAAAAGAGAAAATAAATTGCGGCAACTGTTGCATGCAATCAAATTGATGGCCTTTGCATATTTTAAAGCGAAACTGAAATTAAATGGCGGCTATATTTGCGGACATCTTAAAGTCAGAACAAATAAGGGACTGGCGGGGCAGCTTGGTAAATGATACATGAGCAGGAATTTCATTGTTCTTTTGGCTCGGATATCATGCGGCTCCATTAAGTAAATAGACAAACAAGTGTCCTGCGAGGGCATGTGGCAGAAAGTTCATGTCGAATGATGATGGAACGTTTCAGTTCTCGGCATGGCGTCATCCGCAGAGGGAGTGGGAGCACCGGGCAACGGGCAACGGGCAACGGGTGGGGCAGGACGAAACGAACACATACTGAAGGGAAATTAACGCAGCGCAGTTGGAGAAACCGCAACGAGGCGGCGAGCAAACAAATAATTTAATGCGTCGGGTGTGGATGCCACACAGGATGGGCACCGTTCCCTAGAAAACTGATATCTAATTGAGTAAACAGCCAGTGAATGGCCATGAATTAGCCAGGGGCGACAGTCAATTCTCTGATAAATACATACATATATATATGTCGTATATACATATATATATATGCAGCATATCTCGCGGGTCTGTTTGGGTCCCGTGGGTTCGTTTTTATTGTCTTCGATTTAAGAGCGGTATGAAAAATCGAAAAGCACACACACACACACACACACACACACACACACACACACACACACACACACACACACACAGACACACAGAAACACACACAGGCACACACATGACACAACCTTGAAGTGAATGCATTTGCTCTGCAAAAGTGTGTACTTACCCCGTGTGCGTGGGCAGAACGTTAACAGGGAATTTATCTAGTATTTTTTGTATCTGCAAACTGTTAACTTAATACTTTTTACTGTGTCAACTGATTATAAACAAATTGGTGTTATTCACAATACTGTTTAATTTATGTTGCGTATTTAATGTTTTATTTTTGTTTCTCAACTGTTTCAACTCACTTGAATTCTGTCACAGACTGTGGAAAGTTTTGTTGGGACACAAGCTTTTTATTATCCTGTCTCTCATGTTGGCCAAGCTTTCCGTTTTGATGAGCTTGACGAAAGCACGGCGCATGCGTCCTGCGAGTTTCCGGCATTTCTGGCCCAATGTTTTGCTTCGTTTCATGCCTTGCACGTTGAATCCTTGCGCTCCCTGCTTTGGCTGCCAAATTCGCGTGAATGAAATGGTTAACTATTCTATTCTTATATTCTATTCGGACTATATAGATCTAATGATCCTAAGAATTTAGTTGTTTTGTACATATTTCGGATTCCAATATCATATAATGTTTTCAATGCTTACAACTATGGAAGTCCTTCAACAAATCTGTTTCTTTTCAGAACTTTAAGCTCAGCTTTAATAAAGCCTCGTGGTAATATATTGACCCAGCCTTTTGTGTCAAATATCACATTTTTAAACCAATATTTTCCTTTCGAAATTGGACATGCTGCGCCATCCTTAAAGTCAAAGTCTGTGTGTTTACCCGTTTCAATAGAATCCCTAATAAATCGTATATAATAGGTCCTTATGGCTGTACATATTCCCTGCGGTGGCAATTCCATTGGCATTAGCTTATAGTCGCCAACACCAAGCGGATCGGAGTACAGCTGTATTGTCAGCTAAAAGCTGTCCGTCAGATCTTCAAGTATTGGAACGGTTCCGTTTAGAGCGCGGTTGCGTCAAACCAATCTAAAGGCAGTTAGAGCCGAATCTCCAGGAGAATTAATAACATTTACTTGCGAAACATAATACAGTTGGTTCCCGCACTAAAGTTATTTAACATTTTATTTATCCAGCTGGCCTGTTTCCTTTGAAAACTTACCGCTACCAGTTTATCCGCCAGAATCAGGCTCAGAATGATGATCAGTAATATCTCGGCTTTGTCACGTTTCATGGTCGAATATTTTGTACTGACTGTTGTCCCTGATAAAGAATATCTATTATTTATAGACTCCAAATGAATCAAGTTAATTGCTTTATATATATTATAACAATAATCTGATGAGCTAGATAATATAAACAAGAACCGCCCTAATCGTGTTCGGTCTGTCGATTAACAATGCTCTTTCGTTTGATAGTTATTATCTTAAACAATCAAAATATAAAATAGTTTGAGTGAAATTTGAAATTAACGTTTTTTGTTATTTATTTAACAGACCTGCCTAAATTAGCTCTGTGGCTTATTTGGTATTTTTTATTCGCATTGGTGTGTACACACTCTTGTAGCTGCAAGTTTTTGCGGGAAACAGGAAATAAAATTAAATGAATCTCAATGTCAGCAGCAATTTTGGATTTACTTGCAGGGTAAATTAACGATATGCATATGGTTATATTTAATATAATTTGATTTATTCTCTTTTAAAGCTGCTACAAAAACACTGCGACAACCCCCAAGCGAGTCAACGAGCCGCCTGGGATCTTGTCGATCTGCTAAAATGCTTAAATGCAAAGGAAAAGGTAAATACTTGGGTAGCAGAGTTTAAATATTTATGAATATTATTATCAAATTTTGGATTAAGCAGCTTTTGCTGGCCAAATACTTCTGTCAATTGCCATTGAGCGTTGGCAGCTTTCGAGTGCTGGGCCAGCTGCAACAGCTTAGAATTCTGACAGCCACGGAATACATTTGCAGGTAACAAATGGGAAATATACATACATAGATCAACAAATATTTATGTATATTATCTAATTAACGATTCATTGACAGTATAGAGAACGATGAGCAGCTGCAGTTAATATTAATTGAGTTTCTGCAAAATGAAAATAAGCTGCTGTCTAATCTATTCATTTCGGCTCATTATGGTAAGTGATATGGACTTTAAATTCTGTATGTAAATAGAGTAAATTCAGGTTTTGCTTTTAGATTCGTTAAACATGCTAACACTGAATAATATACTCGAAAATGCTTTGCGGAATCTCTTCAGCGCTCTGGCTGAAAATCCAAAGATCGGCAACTTAAACTATGTTGAGTATTTGTGTAAATCTTTACCTGGTAGGTGGGCTTTCTGTAAGTTACTGCATTTCCTCTTAATGACTGGCAATTATCTTTATAGATGATGTATTAGTCAATGTGTGCATGCAAATGCATTTGAACATTCTGTTGGAGTTGCATGAGACTGCCGATGTCAGTCTGGCGTTTCAACACTTTAGCGCTTGGATTAATGAGGGTGTCGATGAACTAATATTTGTCAAACACATCACAGGAAGAGTAAATATATGACATATGTTTAGATTTGTCTCATCATATTAACAAACTTTTCTATAGCTCTTTGGCAGCCATCAGCAGGAAGCGTTGTCCCATCTATTTAAACTATCTACCTCCTCGAATTTTAAACATTGGAAATTTTATATAATTTTACTGCAGTCCATAGCCAGCAGCGGAAATGCAGACACAATTGCCTTTATAAAAAGTAAGCGGGTTGGCTGCCTGCGATAAGATTATATTGATATGATTATAATTTTCACAGAGTACCTCAAGAACCGTCTGCTTCATGTGGCTAGTTTGGGCTGTCAACTCTCCTTGTTGCATCTTCTAGTCACGGCACGCGCTGCTGCGGCTACAACCATGAATATACAACAGAATTTGGATAACTATGCTCAGTGGTACAAGCAAAACATTGGCGAAATTACTTATGTGCTGAGCCCTGAGCAATTTCAAGTAGTTTTAAATATTTTAGAAGATTCCATACATTACGAACAAGAAATTGATTATGTTGAGGTAAGCGTTAATGCGCGACTAACTTGTAACTACATAATTAATGGTTCTTCTTCTATAGATTCATGCGGCGATTGCCATTTCGCCTGGTGGCAAACTCGTGCAGTCCTACAAAACCAAATGCAAAGCGCATTTGTCACGTTTAAAAGCTGCCAACAAGCAAAAAGATGCTAAATAATTCTAGATAGTATATATACATATATATATTTAAGAACATTTCACAAAAAATAAAGTATTATATTTACAGTTTTGTAGAACGTTCTTTGCCCGCCAGCGGTTTATTACGCTCATCCCAAAGCGTTACACCGTCGCAGGCGCAAATTCTCTTAAAGTTCTGCAAAATGCCAGCCGAGCGGGCAATTATGCCGCAGGCAATTCTAAAAAGAAGTCAAAATTGTACATCTCATAAGACTTAGCAAATATATACCTACCTGTCACCGGAATTACCATCGATTAGACTTTGTGTGTTGCCACCGCGTCCCATGTCATCCGCATTGGCTGTTATGACAACCGCACGTCCAATTATGTCCCAAATTTCCAGGGCTGGATCAACAAAACGGAATGTGGCACGGCCAGTCTCATCGGCACGTATGTTTCCCAAATCGCCGGCATGTCGCTTAGTTGTGCCTGCGTCCGGGCTTCCATGTGGCGAATTACGCGGATTATAATGGTTGCCAACTGATGCACAGCCTTTGGACACATCGCCGCTTTCGTGTATGTGAAAGCCGTGGAGTCCCGGCGCTAATCCATCCACTACTCCATCAACAACTACGCCAGCCTGCTGTGCAGCAATTGTGGTGAAACGCACTGCGCCCTGTACGGGTGTTCGATCAACGACACAGCCGGTTGTATTGATAAGCGCCACCGCTGATTGTCCCCCAAAGCCGGAGAGAACAGCCCGGCGGCCCGTGCTTTCGATTTTGTCCTGAACTTGCGACCATGGCACTGTTGTCTGCACAATCACGCGTCCCTCTGCCGGATCAATGTCAACTTGACCCATGCCCTCCAGAGCACGCCGCAGGCTATCTACGCACGATTTGTCGTGTTTACGCATTTCCACTGCAAACTCAATCTAGAAAGTGGAGTTACTTTGCGTTAAATGCGCCCCATTTACCATTAATTTAGTTAGTTACCTTAGTTGAGTCCATTGCGTTGTTTATAAGTAGTCAACCACAAAACACAAATAATGGTTGCTATCGATATATTTACAGATGGATACAAAATCGATAGGCACTATCGATATTTATAATTGGCGGTTAGCTCAAATTGGACTTACAATTTATATCGATATTTAAATTAGTGAAGCAAACTGTTTTAAAAAATGAATTTACCAGGCGTAGGCACATTAATATTGCAAAATAGTTTAACATGCTCAAATAAATCAATTAAATACTTGAATTATTTAAAATACCATATTTAAATGTCATGTCTTCTTCGTATTTCGTATTTAAAATTGATCCAGTTCTGTTAAGAGCGTTTAAATTCATTTTGGAAAAGAAGTCACATTTTATAATTTGTTTAAAAAGATTGTTTACAGTAGAAACTTTAAATGGCATTTTGTTAAATAAATTTAGCAGCCAAGTTATCAAGAATACAAAATTTGGCAATATCATGTATTTGGTTCAGTTCTGTAAAGAGCACATTTTATTATTGGTAGAATCTTTATATATTATATATTTTGCTTTTGATAATGCCATTTTTCTTCCAAGTTATTGCAAAGGTGAAATCAACGCTTTGGTTACGATTTGGCAACATTAATGTACTAGCTGAGGCAAAAACAAAATAAAATAAATAAAATTTCCTTAATTAATTTATTGCACCTTAAATTTATAAATATATACAATTATCGAAAACCTACGGTCTAATACTTAGGTATACTTTATAAAATCACACTTTTATTTCTCAATATAGAAGCGCACACAAACTGGAGATTTGTGTGGCCCAGAGTGGCACAGGAATGCTGTGGCGACAGCTTCATCGAAAGATTTTGTGCTGGATGTGGTGTGCATTTGGATCAGCCATAGACGATTGCTACGTTGGAATTTGAGCGGCACGTGAAGTGGACGGTGAAGGCTCCAACGAGCTGGCTGTGACGGCATTTGTGGCAGCGATTGTTGTTTCTACGCTTAGATGCGGATCACACTCCGAATACGGCGGAGCCGGCAATGCAGCAATGCCAATGGCACTGGACGCCATAGTTGGCGTTGGCAATGCTGCAGCGGCTGTGGGCGTTGTCAAATTGCACATACGCATCACTTCATCATAGCTGGGCAGCTCCTTGTCATCCTTTTCCAGCTGTTCGCGTATCCGTGCTGCCTCCTGGCTGTTCGGCTCGATAAAGAATATATCGCCAAAGCGGCTGTGCTGGCGTCCCAGCTCCACATTATTTTGGCGATCTGCAAGATAAGCATTACGGGCATATATTAGCATTATCTAGACCCATAAATAGATCAAGATTATATAGTGAACAATTCGTATACCGAGCCGTTGGCGCTGGCGTTGCCTTTGTCGATTCAACACCGTGGATTGGTGCATGCGCATGGCCAGCTAACGAAACGAACAGAATAAACTATTAAGACAATGACTCGAAGATAGATCTGCGCATAATAATGACTAGGCACTATAATTACGTACAAAGATTAGCTGGCTAACGACGAATATGGCGACCAGGAAGCCCGACGCCACCAACAAGTTGGATGTCAAAGTCATTCTACGTTTGAAACCGAACTCGACTCGGTTGTTATTGCCAAATATAATAAGTTGATCGTCAAATAACAATAATAATAGGCAACTCAATGGTGCTGAGTGCTGAATAGCCAGCGATTAGATAAACCCCGCCCTCATATTTGGCACACGTTACCATTTCGACTGGGATTGATTTGTCTTTGCCTTTGCCTTTGCCTTTGCTGGCGTTGGCAGCGCGACGGACAAATCTTTGCCAGGGTTCGATTCTCGACGCGCACATAGAAGCAAACGATGGGCAGACAGCAGAAGAAGAAGAAGACCAGCGCCAAATAGATAGCCACATGGAGGCCAAACTGAGTGCACCAGTTCATGGCCGATTCGAATTTAGATTTGAAACAGAAACAAGTGCCGGAAACCGGCGCATACTCATTGCACGCCCGAAACAGGCAACAGTACGCCGGGAACTAATCAAAGAGCCTATATACATGGATGACGTTATGTATTATTGATATAAGTATGCCTAGTGACTTGTTTCTATTTTAGCGATAAGATAAAGTTGCTAAACCGAAAGCCTTTATATATAGTGTATATGGCAGTCATGTGCTAAAGGCAGCTCACCTACACGACACACGCACGCCGATGCTACGAAAGCTCAGAGCACAGCATAGCACACGCTAAGCTTTCTAGTCGAAAGCACACTAATACTAATACAACAACAACTAATACAACTTACTTTGCCGGCTGCTGCCATTGGCGCCGGCTGGACAACAGCATCTGACAATCCAGATAATCGCGCACTATCAGGAAAAGAGAATCGATTTACTCAGTGTGTGTATGTGTGTGTGCACAGCTTTTAACTATAGTGAATTTTCACCTGCAGCACTACATAAGATGTTAGGCCTATGAGCAAAAGTAATATGAAGTAGAAAATTGGACCCGTTTCCATGCTTCCCACTTGCAAGCAGCTCCGCAGAAGACTAAAAATCAAGTGCGCTTATCAAAAGTGCTCACAATTATGATATGTGCCAGGCTAGCTAAGTGCCTTATCAGATACACTTGAGGCGGCGCATAGTACATATACGATGTCTAAGTAAAATCAACCAACCAATTGTCTGCATATCAATTTTATTTTTTTGATTTTTGATTTTTTCATTGTACATACCAAGCGAACGTTGCGCCCGAAGACGTAGCTGGATATCCCGATTATTGGACGGAGATTCAGCTGGAGTGCGACAGCACTTGAATAATATAATCCATACCAAATACTTTAAGATAAGTAGAACAATTCAGAGTTAAAAATGAGAACAAACTGCCAACAATTTGCTGCAATTACCTGTATGCAGAAATATATGATGGGCACGGCGACAAGCATTATAAAGAATAGAAAAAAATAAAACATTAACATTCCACCCATTGTGTATAAGCCCGAAGCGTATGAAATCCGTTGGCTTTGAAAAGTCAGAGAGCACTGAATATTTTGCCCTACAAACGCTGAGAATATCTTATCAGGGGAAACTATATACAATGCGCCTATATCTGGCTGAGCAGTTCAATAATATTTTTAGCCAAGAGCCAATTAATTACTTTATGTGACTCTAAAGGAAACGGGTAAGGTTATCAGAGTCAAGAGTTAATAAAACAAAGATTAGATTAGTTAATATATACATAAAGGAAATATCAAAACGAGATCCTTTCATTTACATACCTTCGCGTGGCTGCCACAATTCGTAGCAGGCCCAGACACCAAATCGCAGGCAACAACAACAAATCGCACAGGAGAGGAAAAGCAGAAAAACGCCCGAGAATATGGACATAAGATCTAACATTTTCACATTTAAATATTGAGTATTTCGAGAGTTCCGGAAATCGAAGGATTGATTTGCGCGCTTCAGTTCGCCCAGACACGATCGGATCGCATCACTCTGCGCAGAAGCCGATTGTCAACTGTTTGGATTTCCATGCTGCGCGCTTTTTGGAGTAAGTTATCAGCGCTGGGCATAGTCGACTACCTGGGCAGGTGGCAGGTTCGCTCAGACCCGACAATTTCGCATCGCCTGATAAGCGTTGGCTGAGCGTGATAAGATAAGATTTGCATCATTGCGTGCCATGTGTGGAAATTTCATGCATTAAGTTGCAGACTGTCATGGGCGCTAAAGCGTCTAAGAATAGCCCACATATATAGACACTCGTAAATCAAGAGCTCATCAAAGTAAAGACAAACGAGAACTTGAAATCCCAAAAAGTGCGGAAACATTCAGGTAAATTAATTCTCAGTGTGTGAATTAATATTGTGCGAGTCACGGGCTAATTTATTCTTACACAAGCACAATTAAAGCCAAACCAAAACAAAGGCACACATAAATCTATTGCGGACTTGGCCTAAACAAGCTACTTAAGCGGGCAACTTGAAACAATTATGCCTCAAAGGCGGGCAAAACATTTCCCACATGCTCCACAAATTAATAAATGCGGTTGGGAATCGAGGTATTTCAATGTCAAAGTTATAAATATATAGATAGCAGCTGCTTAAGCGCTTCCTTAAGAATAATAATTCAATTCAATTAGGCGGTAAGTGTTCCAATTCCAATTGGAACACTTGGACAAGCTCCCGCCAAGTAGCTAATTTATCGATAATTTCTTAAACAAAGCTAATGTCTGCACTCGAATCAAGTATTTAAAGAAAAACAAAGAGAATTAAGCTTTTAACAACTATTGAATAATAATTATCGTTGGCCCAATCAGAATCAGTGCATATTAATGTTCCCTTTTCACTTGGACCAGGTCATGAAATTTATATTGCATGATAAATTTCTATACTCGAATAAACTATTTAAAGAATAATAAATTTAATTATTAAGTAAATCGTTGGCCTAATAAGAACCAATGTATATTAATGTTCCCATTCCATTTGGACCAGGTCATGGACATAAAGCGGCATGATAAATTCCTGAAACCCCGTTCCAGTGCCAATCGGACCAGTTTGAAAGTCACTTTATTTACATTTGCCTAAATTACAGTGCACTTTCTAACATATTTTTAATGAACCTATTAAAAACATATTCCGCAAGTGTTTCATTCCACTTGTTCCAATTGAATTAAACCTCACGACATTTATTTTATTGCACATGCACTCTCTTTCATGAATTAGTTCTGCAATTTGATATCTGACCTCGTTTTCTTTTAATAGGTATGTTATCTCAGATTAGAATAGTGAAATCTTTGCACAACGCTGATAGCACAGTCTGACGTGAAGAAAACAAATTGAAATGAAGCCGTCAACAAGTTTCACAGCGTACTTCATTCTCGCTCATTCCTAAACAAATTTGAGGAAGCTTCGAAAAATAACAAACACTATCTCGAAACCCAAATTAGGCACTTTAACTGATTCAATGCAGTGGGGGGGGGGGGGGGATTATTGTTATCACATCGCGATAATTCGCTGCAAATTATGAGAGCTCTGAAATAAGCCTCTTATCGATACGGTTCAATTCACGCCGTATATCTGCGCTCACCTGCGACCACTTCGGTGGTCGTGCCGGATGGATCGATGCGTATTTGCCGCAGCACCCGGGGCGGGCCACGCCCACGCTGTGACTGTGACAGAGGCAACGGGGGCTGATCGACAACAGGCTTGCGCATGGCGCATACACAACACAGCTGCAAGAATCGCATAGAATTAGTGGAAATCACACACACGCACGGCGGAAAAACGGAAACTGGCGAAACTTACGCGCACCAAAATACACAAAATGACAACCAATATGAAGTAGACTATATAGAGTGTGACATCGGCGGGCATTTTGTTAACGGAATTGTGAATTGGCAACGATTTCTGTTCGACACGGGCAAGTAGCTATTTTATAATGGCAAATACGACGAGCACAAATCGAACTGGGCAAGTAACGTTCGATAAAATAAGACTTGGTCTTATCAACATGGGGCAAATGGTGTATGCCTGATTAATAATATGTTGTATATATTTGTATTTAGTCATATTATCAGCTTATGCCAAATGGATGGGCGCAGGTGAATCGGAGGAGGGGGATGGGGTTGACAATTGTAAATCGGAATTTAGACCTTTGGCTAGTACGCACCCGTTGATATGGAGGCCCGCCTAGAGCGTTCCAACGAAGCGCTGTCGTACTCCTCCATGTTTTTGTTGTTGCGTATGCTCCTAAAGCACAACTATTAACAGAGCTTTGTTAGAGCTTTGGGCGAATCGAAAGATACATTTAAGGAACTTACAACGGCCACCAAGAGAACCAATATAAAGATATAGATCAAATCGTTCGGATACATCATGTCCGTAGACGTGGGTTTTCACACTGGCGGGTCTGAGGAACGAGCACTGACAGAATTGAGAGAAATTCGCTGAACAGGTTTTAAAGCACTCGAGGAATAGCCATGTTTAGTGCCCCCATAAGGATTGTTATCTTATCATCAAGCTTTTAGCTATTTGTTCTAGATGTTGGGGCATATCGAGTACTGAGGAGGGGGGTCGGTGGGTTGGTGGGTCGAGTGTGGTCTGTTGTTTTTCTTACCCTCGAGTGCCAGGCGCAACATCATTTCACGGCGCGTCATGACGCGCCTATTCCATTCCTCCAACTTCAGTCTGACAAACAGATAGCACTCCTTCAGAGAGAGAGAGAGAGAGAGAGAGAGGGCGAGGAGTTGACTGAGTTAACGCGCCCCTTGTGGCAATCGAGCGGAAAGGCTTACCCGTAAAATGAGTGCGACTGCGATCCCAATGAGAATGCCACAGAACCAAAATTCCGTGTACATTTGAAATGTGTCCGTACGTAATTTTGACAGTTTGATCTAATCATTAAATGTGTCCGATTTTTGACTTTGAATTTGAAATTTAAGCTGCTTAGTGTTTTAGGCACTCACCAGCCTCAGCCTGATCTCGGCTGCAGGAGCTCCACTGCCGAAACGGTCCCAGATAGGTCTGAGCAGCAACAACGGAGAAGCTATGCTAAGTATTAAAGGATTGCCAACCGAATTCGACGTAGCTTACCCGCAACAGTATGAACAATATTAGCAAAAATGATATGAAATAATACCATTCCATAATATCCATTACAAAGCGTGCGAATAAAATATGCGCCCCGACAGCCGGGCGAACAACAAGTGAATAAAAATGAGGATGAAATCTAGATATCACCGGGTCCGGGTTCAGTTACGATATAAAAACGGAGATAAGCGCAGCGATTAGAGCTCTGCTGTATTACTACAGTTTGTTCAAGGGGCTTGATATTTCTATATTTAGCTAATATCATTGTCTAGTTATCTGCGAAGCTTACCAGCTAAATCTTGCACTGGCCGAGTTGTATCTGTTTTTTGCCTCAATATAACCTTTAATTAGCAACTTTGAGAGTTTGTTTCCTTAGGAATTTGGCCAAAGAATCACATCAATTAGAGATCACCCAACCAATAACAATTGCTATAATCAGAACAGTTACATTTTAAAATACAGATACATTTTTAAAACAAATCAGTTGCTTTTAAAGACTGATTGTTTTTTGATTGATTGTTTTTATTCAAAATCGTATACATTTATAATATATTAGCTCTTGTTTGAGCTGATAACGCGCATATTTGCGCAGAAAAGCTCTTTTATCTAATCTTAGCCAGGTGGTTTTGATTGAAGCCCAATCCGAATCTAAGCGATTAAAACATAAACGAATAACAGCTTGATGTATTTACAGAATGACTAAATATAAAAGTACACCCATCAGCTCTGATAAGCTGCGATTTGATATAGTAGTCCGATGTTGATAAGATCTTGCTCATATGTAAAGAACATGCTAAAGCTCGTAAATGTCAAGGTGAGTCAAGATTTAAGACATATGATCAGAAATATATATTGCCTGCAAGCTTTTCTCTTCTACATATTTCATCACTAAATTATACTAATTAATCTGAATTACTAATTAGATCTGGAAAGCTTACCCACGGGTAATGCTGCTGGTCTTCCAGCTCTCTCCTTTCTTCGCGTTTTAATAGCATTGTCGAGAATCTTTGAATGAGTAAAGCATATTTCTTAAGTCGTTTAAGCCAATTTGACATTAAATAAGCTCACCCAGGCTAGGAACATGGCTATGAATAAAATAAATAAAATTGTAGTCCAAGCCAATGGATTATCCATATTTAAGAAAACAAAAGACAAAGCAATTTAACCGATTGAGCGAAACGAACGACAAACTGAACTGAAAATCTCACGACGACTGAATTTTCTCCTGTCTCCGACTCAATTTAAGTTAATCTGTGATTATATTTGTCTAAGAAAAAAAAGCTTACCATTTGTATCTCTGGCTGCACTTCTGTTGGCTCTTTGCGGAGTCGCCGCTGTGGTTGAGTTAGCTTTTCTACAAGCTTTGGCAAACAACTTTAAGAAATTCAAATGCAAATTCTTATCAGAAATTGTGCGGCCTTTGACAGTTGCGTAGCTTACCCATATTAAAACAATTGTTAAGAGGAGAGTGCCGGAAATAATATCCCAATGCTCCCCGGGCATTACAAAGCCAGTAATATATTAATTCAATAAAAATACAATTAAAACAAAACAAAAACTAAGACTTCGACAAACTTCATTGACAGCCTTATGACGACTGCCCGATTAGGTCGGTCGACCAACCCGTCTATCGCTTATTATTATTAATATTATTATTATTATTATCTAAACGGTATCAACGGTACTTTTTTTTAAGTCAATAGCTCGCATAGGACTCTTGGTTATCTAATCTGTTTCGGGCTCAACTACCCCATAGGGTTATCCCCCACATGACCCAACATGAATTGCCAGAAGCTCAGTCGTATTATTCGCGCTGATCTTGACAAACGCTTTAACCCTTAAAAGAAAGTCGGAATAATAATCAATGAAAAATAACCGAAATAACTCAAAGTTTACAAGGCAGATAAAGAAGCAATAAAATTGGCACGTGTCTTTCCTTTAAAAATAAAGTCCAAATCGTTAGAAATACGCTTTTTACCAATTACTTAATTAGGCCAATAAAACGCAACTGCGTAATGCTCGTGCTCAGCCCAATAAAACTTTAAATAGGCTACCTACCAGCCAAATGTAATAATAATATATATCGACTACTCCGATTCGCCAGGTTCTTGGAAAAAAGGCTTGCTTCGTTCTTAAAACAAGTAAGAGGTTCTAGTCGGGAGCACCCGACTAGGGGATACCCTGAACCCTCTGCTTCCAACATTCGATAGGTATAAAATGAAAGATACTTGATATAAATATACTTTTCTAGAAGCTACATGTCAAGTTTGGTGATTTTAGCTCTTATTATTTACCAAAATTTCTCAAAAAACAGGATTTCGATATCGATTTTTATCGATTACTTGGAAACGGGGCATGTTATGGAATATTGGAAACAAACTCGATCTGCGCGGGCACTAGGAGGACCTTCAGCTAAAATTTGAAGTCTCTGGCTCTTATAGGTTCTGGGATCCTTGCGGACAGACGGACAGACGGACGGACGGTCAGACAGACGGACATGGCTAGATCGACTCGGCTGTTGATGCTGATCAAGAATATATGTACTTTATGGGGTCATAGATGCTTCCTTCTGCCTGTTACATACATTTGCACAAATATATAATACCCTTCTTACCCATTTTCAATGGATTCAGGGTATAAAAAGCTCATCAAAATTCTTTGTGCTGAAGTTAGTTAGCTTAGCCCTCAAACTGATAATGATTTAGATTCTTCCGACTTGCCTAGACCCAAGCTGGCGCAGTCATGTAATCTTAAAACTTTATCTTAAGTGGACATAAACGAGTATTTACTGGAAGTTTCTCTTGTTTTAAAAGCGGGTAGACTCAAAACAAAAATACTCTTTTCGCTTTTCGAACGAGTTTAAAATGTGATCAATTTTGGTGACAGTTTGTCAATATATTTCTCGCACTGCTCATGAATCTGGTTGCTTGTACAAAGATAAATCAACCCAAAATACGCTAACTGTGATCCATATTCAGATGAAAACGATTTTTATAAATTTCCTCTTAGTTTTTATGGGACTGAAAATAAACTCTCGAATCTTTGTGAAACTTGGAATATTAATACATATTAATATTAAAACAAATCGAAGACTATACTATAAAGTTCTTATATAAATATGGTATAAATATAAAATATATGTATGCATATATATTTTTTGCTTTCAATGATATTCTAATCAATTTCAGCAGTTAGTCTTCTGAAAGCGAACAACTGTATCATACAACGTCTATAGAAAAACCCATGTGAAATTTAATTTGTATACAAATATAAATTGGTTGGAAAGAAAGGGTATTTATTCGCCGGCAAGCTGAAGATGTTAGGTTTTACTGCTTTTTGAGCACTTAAAACTTACCACGCCTTCTATTCCTATTCGTCTTGCGCACAAATAACGTTAAGGCCTTTAAAACAGAATATTAAACAAGTAATTCACCGGCGAATGTTTACATCAAACTTACACAGGCGTAGAAGAAAATGCTGAGCACGAAGAGGAGTAAACTAATTAACAGCGCACCTAACATTTTTGCTGAGTCCAAGCTCAGTGCCAAAACAAATTAAACTGGCACGAAAATATTTTGTCAATTTTGCTGGCACTTTGTTAATACACTCTCAGTCCGCCCTGTTGCAAATCTAATCGGTTAAAAAGGCCAAACAAAACAAAAAACAAATAAGAATGTGGTAGTTGAGTGTGCTCGACTAGAAAATCCCCTGTAACTCCCAGTCTGGATAATATTTCGGAAGTGTCGGAAGTGTTGAATATTCTCCATTAAGAGCAAGATTATAGATTATAATCTGCCGAGGCTATCAACAAAACAAAATATTCCTGCTCTGCGTATACTACTTGAGAGTCTACATACCAAATTAATGTATGTAGCTTATATAGATTTTGAGCTATGCCTAAAAAACCAAGCCTCAAAAGCGATATTACACAATTATAATCGTTTGGCTTAGAAGTATATATATTTCATATAGCAAGTATTATATCAAGACTCTTGCTTTCTAAATTGGCACGCACGGATAAACGGACAGGCAGTCGGACAAGGCTAAATCAACTCAGATCTTACTCCTGATCAAAAATATATATACCTAACACAATCGGACTTGGCTCCTTCTACCTGTTACATACATTTTCACAAAACCATTATCCCCTTTTACTCATTTGCAATAGATACAGGGTATTGCTACAAGTTAATTGCATTGCGACGAAAATAATTTGATAAATATCACTTGAGGTATCTGGCCTTACATGCTGAGGGGCACACGAAGGGGGAAAGTATACCCTCTCTTACAGTCCGTCAAATATATATATCCTTACTCACCCGACCTCCAAACAGACTTCCTTCGCACTAGCATTGCTAAGCCCTTCAAAACGGAATTGTTATATTTACAAATAAATAATAATTCTTGTTTAAACTTACTAAGCAATAAATGAAGACCATGCCAATTATCAGGGCACCCCACATAGTTGGACCTTGTTGGCAAATGTTTTTTACTCTCTGCCAATACAAATGTAACTAAAATAAGAATGTTCTGTCAATATTGTTGGCACCTTTCATTTACGAGGCGTATTGCCTTATCGCAAATCTAATCGTTAATATTATTATTAACTGAGTAACTGAGTAAATCGTAATCGTATTACACACACACACACCTACAACCGCTTGTAAAACAGCTTTAAAAGCTCTTGAAAGCTTAGAGAATTGCAATTAACCATGCTTAAAGCTCGGCAGGATAACAATGGTCTCTTGCTCATATTAAAGCGAAAGTAAATAAACTAAAGTTAAAGCAAAAATAAAGTGAAATATCTTCGGCATGCCGAAGATTACATGGAATTGAAGACATGTTTCTTAGAAATGCTTTTGTGTAAAAGAGTTAGGTTACGGGAATAGTAAAGCTCGTAATTGTTCGGTTAATATATCTTAAGTAAAGTCCAGGAAGTAAGGATATGTTCGGCGCTTCGAAGACCAAGGCGAAGTTTGATGAAAATATCGTGAAAAACAGATTATTTTGCCATATAAAAAACTAATTTTCAACTATATGATGGCCCGATCTTGGCGATATATGAAGAGCATAACGATACTAATAAATGACGCTTTTGATCAAGATATCCTGATAAACAAAAAGTTTTCAATACAAAAACCTACTCTTAAACGGATCCTTCCTATGGCAGCTATATGATATTATATTATATATTAGTCCGATCCCGCAAATTCTGACATTTATACTTGGGACGATAGCATCAAAAAAGTGACATACTACTTTCATACAAAAATATATAAGTAAATATCCAAATCCAGGTATACTTTATGGGGTAGGAAATCAAGATGATTAAGAATATATATACTTTGTGGGATTGAAGATCTCTCCTTATATGAGTCACACATTTACTATATAAGCTATGTGGGATACAAGACCTTTAATTTTGTGAGTTACATATTTCATGACAAAATTACAATACCCTCTAAGAAAAGGCTTATTTCAAGTACTTACCATTATCCCTGCGACGCCTCGAACTAGCAAAAGCCATGCACGCTATCTAAAAGAGAAAATATTTAAATAGATAATAATAGATAACATATTTGAAATGTGAATAATTTGTACCTTTATAAATATGAAAAATGCCAGTGCCAGGAACAATATGCATATGTAGAGACCTGTTGCCATAATTGGCACTGAAAATACAAACTCTTGAGCTGGCCAATTCTTTACAGCGGCAATTAGGAATCGAACTGAAGAACTGAAGCAAAAATTAAATTGGTTTTCTTTATTTTTGGTATACGGAAACAAAAGGCGAACGCGATAAGCACAGACACTTTATTTGATTTTTATTTATCACTTTAATCGTACACAATTGAGTCTTATCGGTTAAATTAGTTATAACGCAATCCCCATCTTTGACAGCTCTAAAAATTATTGCTGGAGGTATGTATTTTTTAATTAAACGCAACTTTTGCTTTAATTGAAATGCTCGCTTTAAAAGGTCACAGATTTGTTAACAAACAAACAAAAAATATACAGAATTCAAGTTCAGAGCAACAACAACAACAACAACTGACCTATTTAATAAACCAAAAGCAATTACAGTGAGCTCCGCAAATAATTATGGGGCAGCTGAAAAACATACTGAAATGGTAATGTGATGAATAATAGCTGCTTGGGAGAGTCTGTGGAGGGCTCCACCCACCGCCCGAATAAAATCAAAATACAATGGAATTTGTAACAAAATGCGAATTTCTTGCAGTTGTTTACAAATCGTCAATGGAACGCACGGATTTATGGGCAGACAGACAGACAGACAGAGAGACAGACAGAGCGACGCCTTGAACTGAAATTAATTAGACCGCATAGCACACAGCTCAGCATTTCTTTTGTTGGCCACACCAATTGGCAACGCCTCACAATCTGCCATCAAGCAGCCAGCCCGCCAGCCAGCCATGCCCAATCCGCTGGAGGTGATATGAACCCATTCACAATGCGGCGACAAGGCGCACGCTTCACGGCACTCAACACCCCGCAAACAATATGTACAAATCCCTTGGCGTTGCAATTGATTTTGAATTGTATAATAATGAAAATAATAAACGGACATAAGGTATAGGAAGCTATAGAGACGAAAGCAATCACAACTGCAGGTATACATATATATGTATATATCAAAAGCAAAGTTAGATCAAGCAACGAGATGTCAGCTGTGGATAGTTCACGACAAGATTCAAGTTCAGATCAAGATTATAAACAGGCTAGATCTATTCGGATCGTATTTAAAAGCTAGATCAATGAGGGTTTTATCAGCTGCGGCGGATCTCTAATAAAATAAAGATCATATATGAAGACAACATAGTTTAACCAAATTCGCGAGCTCAAAGCAAGCTCGGGAGTCTAGCTGTGGGTAGATCAATCTAAACTCAAACTCATGGATTAAAGCTGAAAAACTCACGAGATATTTCAACAAGCTAGATCTATTTAAATTTAAAGCCAGATCCGTTTTGGCTGAATCTCTAAAAAGATAGAGATACAAAAATCGCTAAATAATGAGCTCAAAGCTGGCTCGAGGGTTCAGCTGTGGATAGATCAATCTGAAAACAAAATCATTGATCAAAGCAGAAAACAATTACGATACATTTCAAGGAGATTTCAGCTGTGGTTGCATCACTTAAAAAGTAAAGATCATATTCGAAGAAAACATAGCTTAAAAAAATCACGGGATAGCGCGCTTAAGGCTAGCTCAAGGAACGAGAGTTCAGCTGTGGATAGATCAATCACAATACAAGATCATAGATCAAAGCTGAAAAGATTTCTCCTATAAGGTAAAGATCATATGTGAAGACAACATAGATCAACAAAATCGCAAGATAGTTCATAAAACTAGATCTATTCAAATCTGCCCTTAAATCTAGATCAAGGATCAAACTTAGCACAATTTTATTGATGAAGCTTACTTAGAGATAAGGATCATGATAATGGCTAAGAAACAGCAAGAAGGATAATGATTGTTAAGCTAGATCACAGTTTTATTTAACTTTTAATCCTAAGCCTTATTTTAAAGCCAGCTTAAGTAATCTATTCATATTCAGATCAGATCAGAGCTTAAAGTAAATCTGTGAATAATAAGCTCTGTTTAAATTTAAATTTAATGATTCCTGTTCAAATTAAATTTGGATGATGTCCTGTGATAGATCTAGGAGCAGGATTTCAACTACATTAAATGTTATCAAATAAATAATTATGCTTCAATCTAAACTCTTTACAAGCTCTAAGCGACCTGTTTAGTCTTATATCATTGTCAAACTCTTTGCCAGACCTTTATCAAATAATTAATGCTAAAGCTCATGGCTCGATTTGAATCTCTAAATCACTTCCTTCCGCCGCAGCTGATAATTATGTGTGAGCAAAAAATGGAAAAAGATTTGCATTTCTTTGCACCGTTAACTGCCCGCTTCCCCGCCCTCAATGTCAAGTTCAGGCCATTTCCGTAAGACCGAATATTGCACTGATTTTCATGAACCAAAGCGCAATCTTGATAATCGTCTCTTGGCTGACTTGTCTAAAACAAACTTACAAATCATGCGGCTCACAAGTTCCGGCTTTTTTGTTGTTTTTACGGTCTTTAAGCTGGTCCATTGTTAGACAATGTGAAATGAAAAGTCGCCGCAGCTTGGTGGGCGAGCTGTCAGCTGCGAATCTCTTTAATTATCGCACAGCACCAAATCAAGCCCGAAACACACACCCAGCATAACTGGCATAAATTAGATAAAAATTACTTAATCTAAGCGCTAACTGCTTATGAGCAGGCAATCTAATTAGCTGCCAGCGCCCAGAACCTCCGATTCTCGGCAATGTAATTAATTTCAATTCGCCATTCATCGTGGTTAAACCTTGAACTTCAGATTTCAGATTTTATTAGAACGTTCACAGATCTCTCTCGAACTGTTTCGTGTGTTACTTTCGCTTTTTATGCAGCAATAACAATAACAAGCGCACAATAACAATAAACGCAACAACAGATGTTAAATCATATTCGTAATTCTTGTGAAACACTCAAATACTGGTCACATCTAAAAGGAAAGGCGCTGATATAATGATATAACACATTCACGCATTGTCTTTATTTATTTACTTTTTTTTTTTGTTTGCTGGGCGAACTGGAGCATTGCGGCTAATTAGTTAATAAAAAAAACATTGTTGAAAACATTTCTCTCTCTCTGTTCGCTCTTAACATTTCGCACTTGGCTCAGTTAATCAATGTGAACAGATCTGAGTGTTGGGCCTTTAAAGCCGAAGCATAGCTTAAAAATATTTGTTTAAATTATAATAATTAAAATGTTATACTCAAGGGTCAATATGTCTGTTGCTCTCAACAAGTTGTCTTTAACTAATAAGGATAAAATTATGCTCTTAACAGTTTTCTGTTTGGTAAATATTGTAAAATATGAATCTGTTTGGACTAAAATGTCTGGAAGATTTTCAACAACTATACAAATTGTACATTAACAATTTGTTTGGTATATTTTTGAGTACATACATAATAGTATAATTGACTGTAGATTTATATTTTGTAAGCACAATCACATAGAGAAACATATTTTTTTAATGGTATAATTATCTGATTCCAGTCTCCGAATTATAATAAAAATATCTTTTAATATATATGTATTTGCAAGCATTTGAAAGACTTAACTTAGCCTTTTAACATAACAAACATATGTTACGAGTATAACATATGTATGTTATGTTAAGTACACATAACAGCGTCTCGCAGCTATTTAACATACAAATGTTAAAATGTCAAATGTTACTAGCCGCGAAACAAAAGAAATTGTTGAAGCAACTCAAACCGTTTCCAGTTTTGTTAGAGTACAAAAGTTGCGACTCGCTGCACGTAGAAGTGCCGCATTTATGCATTTGTTATTATGACCATAATTTTGAACTGAACCTGACCGTCTGAGCACCTGAGCAACTGAGCAACTGAGCACCTGAGCACCTTAGCCAACCGACCGCAGTCGTTGTGTGACAATCAACAACAACTTCCTCGAAAACAAGCCACCGTTTAGGCCCGTCTTTGAGCAGCTGCCACAATCACAATGTTGGCCACTTGGGTGAAATTTTGTTTTATTTTTTTATTTTTACTTTTTGCAATGCTTTTATGACTGGCATTATGGGCAGCAAAGAAAAGGAAAGAAAAAAACGCTTGGCCTGGGCAAACTTGAATGTAAATCTGAGTTCAGTTTTGCTGCATTTTGGCAATGCACCAAAATTCAAATGATAATGCTGACTAATCAATGGAAGTCAGGTAAACTTGTAACTTATTAATTATGCATGATAATTGAGGCAAAGGGAAACACAAACGACAACAGCAATAAGCTGGGAACTATTTTGATTGGCTGCAATTATAATTTGCTGAATCAAGTCGTGAATTTCGATGCGGTTGCCGCCCTGCGAGTCACCACTCAACTTTTATTTTATTACAGATACACATATACATATATATGTATATATATATATATACTTGAAGTGGAAATGTGCAATAAAAAGAAGAAAAAGAAAAGCTAGCGAAATTATGTGAACTTGTTATATCACCTGGCAGCAGGCAAAACACAAGCCAAGCAACAATCAAAGCAAAAGCTGACGGCAAACACTTTTAAAATATTACAACAACAACAACAACTGCACTTTCTTTGCGTTACGCTTCTTTGCATAGCCTCGTGCATTGCCAAATCATTTATAAAAGTATATCTAATAAATATACATATATATATCTTTATATCTCTCTCTTTGTCTATAAGACTGCAGCTGCGGTCAGTGTCCATGTCTAGACATTGAACGCAAAGCCAATTGAAATGAAATGCTTGAATGCTGCTGCCCAAGAAACGCCGCCAGATTTCAGTTGCAGCCAAATCTTGTGGCAAGTGCAGTGCGACGACAAAAGTTCAACAGACGAGGCAACAACTGCACCCGCCCCGCTCAGCCTGCTGCCTCTCACATTTTAGGCGTTGCAGCAATTGTAAATTAATTCATATTAGCAAAACAAATGCGAGGCTTCACTGTATATGTGTGCCTACACCTATGTATCGCGTGTGTGTGTGTGTGTGAGTGTAAGTGTGTATGTGTGAGTGTGTGTAGCTTAGCTTTTAGCATTTCATTGGCGATGAGTTGCTGTGCAGGTTTCGCGGTCTGTGGGAGCATCGTTGGAAAACCGGCGCAAATTATATTCAAGAAAACAAAATATAGAAAAAAATCCAAAACAACAACAACAACAACAACAGCCATATGTAAATGCAGCTATATAAAAAGTCGCGTCGCGTCTCGTCGCATCGCATCGCGAAGGCTGAGAAAATGAACACAGCACAAATGTTAATTACGAGAATATCTTTTAACTAGCCAAGCAGATTGCACTTAACTTACATAAAGTATCTGATGGATGCAAATGTGCGCAGATGCCCAAAAGCTCAAAATGTTGTGTGCAACTCAACAAATTTGTTGTCGCACTTGGCCAACGTGGCGTATGCTTCTCTTGAGTTATCAATCCAATTGGATCGAATGCTCAGCTTTCGAATGAATCCAGTTGGAATTGGTGTATTCTAATGGGAATCATTTTAGCTCAATGCTTACTTAGAAAAGGATTTTAGTATTTTATAAATTTGATCATAAAATTCGATTTATGATCTAAGCAAATAATTAAGTTATTATTAGTTAAGTAATTAAAGTTAATAATCACGTTGCAAGCTTTGATAGCAATTTGTTTGTCTAACAAAGACAAATATCTAGCTGAGACTAGCATATCTACAGAAAATCGAGTTAAGAATAGATCTGAAATCGTGGAAAGAAAATGATATCATGTCTTTAAACTTATACCAATACAATTATTTATAAATATAAATTACCTTAATTACCCTAATTGGCTCTGAATAGATTTCTTGTGTTATTTTTTATTGATTTTTACGCTTATATAACACGCTGAATAATATTAATGTATAATTATTTTGTAGTTATTTTATTATTTTTAATAATAATGTTGTACTTTACTGACTTTAAATTCTTAAAAAATCTAAGAAAGATATCTGAATTTTTTCTTTATTTTTTTAACTATTCGAGAGTCACACAAATAATTTTTTTTTTAAATGTATTATGTTCTGTGTTTTAATCGATCTTAATATCAGATCTACACTATATCAATATTTTGAGCAATTTAATTTGTTAATACGAAATGATTCTCAATAAATTATGTCAACAAACAAAAGCTCCAGCTTGACATTCATTTTTCAAAAAATATCAATTCAAAATCTAACTGAGTCACTTAGATTTTTCATGGATCGCTGGGCTGCATAATAAATGATTGAATATGAAAACAAATAAATAACAAGAAAGAAAAAAACTCATGCATTGAGCTAAACTAAAACTCAACACAGAGCTGGGCAGCTGGTTGAGTGGCCGGGCCAAGAGCTAAGAGCTAAGAGCATGGCTAAGAGAGGAGCCAAGCCCAAAGCGCGCTGTGCTTGCCACTTGGCACTCGAGGAGCTCTTTTGAGCGGCGCTCGCCGTTCGTCGCTTTGGTATAAAACATAAACAAGCTAAAGAAAGCCATTCATTTAGTTGTTTGAGCTGGCGCGAATCGTTAGTCCAGCAGTAGAAGCAGGCAGCACAAACGCTGTGGCATTTAGAGTGCAACATAAAGTGAACATACATATAAATATACAAATATATAAACATAAAGTTAACGTATCTTTCAAAAAAGTTGCCCAGTGAAGACTTAAGTGCACTGTGAATCAATTCGAGTAACTTCTCCTTCTCTAAGAGTGTGTGTGTGTGTGTGTGTGCGAGTGCACAAAAATCAATTGCATTTTATTTTGGATATAAATTGAAGGAGTCGCCACCGCAGAATGCAGTAAGTCAAAGTCGAAACTATGAATCATTCGGCCCAAGAATTCGTGCAGTCGCAGCTTATAATTAACGTTTTGTATTGTTTGGCCAACTGCCTGGGCGAAGGTGGTTGCATGGGCGGTGCGGGGGTAGGGGGGGGGGGGGAAGGGTACTTAAGATTTGTGTCGCTTGGCAACCACAAAATATTCTTTTCAAAACATTTCAAAACCTAGAGCATACGTAACTGTAACTGCGCGTTGCTGCTGCTTTTCTTGTTGTTGTTGTTGTTGTTGCTGGCGTGTCTGAGACCTTTTTCTGGCTTTTTTCTAGTCATGTATGTGTGTGTGTGTGTGTGTGTGCTCGGCGTGGGAGTTTTGCTTTGTTTGTTTGTTTGCTTGACTCTTGTTGCCTGCGGCGCTGACAATTCAGTCGGACTGAGCTGAGTCTCGTTTGGACGTCTTTTTGGCTTTGCCTTGGCTTATTACCTAATCGCATTGTCTGCCCGCCTTCTGAGTGAGCAAAAGGAAATAAAACTAAAAGCGTTAAGTAAATAGCTTGGAAAATGCGATCACAGGCGTCTTGCAGCATATTTTTTTGAATTGTTGACACGCTTTGCATTAGCCTTTGTGTCAATCAATACTTTTTAGCGACTGTCCCAGCTGTCCCGCTGACTCATTGCCAGGCCAGGCCAGCCCAGGCCAGGGCCAAACGCCAACTGGTGCATTTCGGTTGGTCAAAAAAATGCGAACCAAAGATCACAATTCGATACCTGCAACAACAGCAGAAACTTGCATAATTTGTCAGCTTATGACAATCCTTTCTAAAAAGAGGCGTATAAATTACTTAGCCGTATCGCAAGTGAGCGCGTATTATATAACCTAACTGTAACTGCACTGGAAATTGTATCGCGCACAAACACACACATGTGTGGCGTATACGCAATATTTCAACAGTCGCGTTTGAAATTACAGTTAGGTGTACGCACAGCAATGCGCATGCGTGTAGCCCCGCAGAGCCCCAAATTGCGCAGACAAGCGCCTAGGCGAGGCCTCGCCTCGCTCGTCCACTTACTCGCCACGATGCTAAATTGTGGTCTGTGTATTGTGACGATTAAATCGGTTTCTTTTTTGTTAGCTGCCATTTGTTGGGTGTGTATTTAATGCAATTAATAAATTGCCGAGCAGCGCCGCTTAACTACACATTGTAGCTGCAGATTCCCACAACACGAATCCTCCAAAGACCGCGCGAAGGTCACTCGCAATTGCCAGCGCAAAGTGTAACAAATTGTTTTCTTCTTCGTGTTGTTGCTGTTGCTGCTTGTTTTTTATGTGAAACGAAACTTGAAAGAAAATGTTGCACATAAAATTCATTGCCACGCAATTATCGTCCACATAATTCACATGCTGAAAAATCAACGGATCGTAAAGAGAGGGCCGCGCACATTAAGACGCGCCGACCCGCAAATGCACGCACATTAAAGTTGTTTCAATTTAAGTTTTTGTAATTGTAACAGTGCAATGTAATTTATTTTCTGTTTTCCATTTTTTAACAATTTCGGTTTTTTTTTTTCACTCGGCTAACGAGCGTGCGTATAATTAACCAATAAAATAAAAGTACATAGCACTCGTGGCTAAAGTGAAAACAAAAGACTTAGGCAACAAACTCAGGTGTTAAATGGCAGCTAATGGAATTGTTGGGCCCGCTTAAAGACAATTAATTACCATAGTTAAGGCAACTAAGCAACCCAAGCAAAAGCTTAACTCGTCGCTCTTAGTTTGAATAAAATACATATTTAAATTAAATCAAATAGAAAGACTCAGACAACGAACTTCGGATTTTCAATTTAACTAGTAGAACCATGGAGAGATAAAATAATCGAAGAAAGCTGATTTTGGTTTAAGTAATAATGGGAATAATTTAAGAGAAATTTATCAGGGAAATTCTGTTTAAAAATATTTTGAATAAAGTCCAGTAGAAAGACTTAAGCAAAAAACTCAAGCGGCAAATGGCAACAAATGGAATGGTTGGGCGCGTTAAGAGAAAATGTATCGCTTTAATTAAAGGAACTAAACAAGCAAAGCCAAAGTTTAATCGTATTAGTTTTCAAATGTAATAACTATTAAAACTGAATTAAATTTGTATAGAAAGACTAAAACAACAAACTTGAGTTTTCAAATTTAACTGGCAGAACTTTATGAACATAAATAATATCTATTAAAGCTGATTAGGTTAAAATAACAAGAGCATTTGTTTAAGGGAAAGTTATTAAGGAAAATTATTATAAAGGAAAGTTATTATAAAGGAAAGTTATTATTAAGGATAGTTATTTGAAACTATATTGAAGAAGAACTATATTAAGAAGCAGGAATTGTTGACAACAAAAGAAAGATTTCAACAACTTGGCATATTTAATAACAAAAGGAATAAAGCAAATGTTTGAACAAAGAATTTATGAAAAAGATTTATACGAAACAATATAGTCGTAAAAAGACAGGAAACCCATTTGTGTGCTTAAAGAGCAGCTAATAAAATTGTTGGACGGCTAAGAACTATAAACTGAAATAATTTAACAAAAAAATATATATAATAAATAGCTTTAATAAATACTAAATAAATAAAAGAATAACTAAAGTCTAATAAAAAGACTTAGGCAACAAACTTGAGTGCGAATTAACTTCAGTATAAATTAATAAAATTATTTTAAACACGATAATGAATTAAATTTTCCTGATACACTTGAGGTCTGCAAATTTTCAACAAATTTCTGAAGCATTATGCTAGCCTAAATGTATACTAATTAGTAGAACTAAACTAACTAAAGCATAATAAAAAGACTTAGGCAACAGAACGCTAATTAAATTCAGTATGAATTAATACAAATACGTATTTAATTATTTTTTATACGTATTAATATATTGTATTTTCCTGATACACTTGTTCTCTTAATTTTCCTGGCCAACAATTTTCTCAGGCCTAAATGTGGTTTTATCTTCTATTTCATAATCTAAAAACATGTCTTATGTCATACACACGCCCAACTTTAAAGGAAATCAAAAACGTTTTCAGCTTTTGGCAAAAATATAAACATTAAAAAAAAAAAACGTTGCTAAAATTTCAACTGGGTAGCCAAGAAAACAAGAAAACAGACAATTTCTATGAGTGTGCATAATGAAACCACTTTTGCTGCGGCAGCGGTTAGCTGAACCAGATGCAGTTGAAGACAAGAGACAAGCGACAAGAGACAAGAGACATGGAGACAAGCGAAAAGCCATCCACATAGACATCAACAACGCATCGTTTCTTGGCGTTCATGTGATGTAATGTGGTGCTATAAAGCCAGACGTACACATGGCTACATCTGGCTTGGCATCTGGACTACTAACACCACAGTGGAGAGGGGCGAAAAGGGGCAGAGGCAGGCAGTCGCCGTATGCAACACATGCTCCCATTTATGGCAGTGCGGCCACTTTTGTGGCATGCAACGCATGATTATGTGGAGCACTAGGAAACGTTTCGCATTTAGCTGGCAACTGGCAACTGGCAACCCAATTTAAACGAATTGATGACTTCAGTTAATGACTTAACCAAGGCGTCGCTATCTCCCAGCCGGTATTCGGTGTTAAGTCATGCTGATAAATGATGGGCCCAGGATTAACGTAATCAAACAGTAGCTGGCAGCAGTGACAATCCAGCAGGCAGTAGGCGACGTAGGCGACGTTGGCAGCAGCTGCAGCTGCCACAAGTACTTAACTCACCTCGAAAAGTTCAAAGGTGGACAACGAATTGGCAAAGGCCAGCCGAAACACAGAAAGACAGACAGACAGACAGACAGCCTGACAAATTGCCAGCTAGAATGGCTGAAACAAATTGTACGAGCATTTCAAATGTGTAGGCAGTGTAGGCCATTACATAAGCACTCGCACACGCATTCGCTTTATTAACTTATGCCTTAATTAGCGACGCCTTATAGCCATTGGCTCAGCCATTAGCATTAACATTAACAACACCAGCTGTCCACCAATTCCAAAGTAAAGAAAGTAAAAGTTAGCTTTGCCTTTGCTCCGGCTCTAGCTCTTGTTATTATTGCTATTATTTTTGTTATTTTGTGTTTTTTTTTTTTTATTGGTAACAGTTTTGCTTTCGATCGTAAATACCTCAATTAAATTGCATTGCGCGGGCACGTAACATTGGCCAAGCCAAGCCGCTCGGTCACCTGGCCCAGGTATGTGGTATCTGCCAGCGATGCGTATGCGCCGCCGTTGACATTCAACCAGGTTGGCAAAGTTTTTTTTGTGCGCTTACTAAATGGCGCTCAAATTGAACCCGCTGCTGAAAAGTGAGCAACTAAACAAAAAGAAAAACAAAAAAAAAACCAGCAGCGGCACATCTTCATTTTATACCCTTTCCCAGGGGGTACTTGTAATATTTGATGCCCAAAAAAGAACGAAATATGCAGCTCCTTAAATGGAACTGTGGGCATTCATATGTGAAAATATTCAACTTGTGTATAATTTATATGATAAATAAAAAACTAGAGAAGCAAACATTTCTCTGGGGACACTCGGCCTGAAATCTATAATTTATCATTCTGTCGTTCTGTCTGATCAAAGAAAAGTAGCCTTTGTAGTCTGTATAAATCTTACCAAGGTATTTTTTTGAATAGCTTATTTAAAGTTATAATATATTATAATAAAGGATGATCTTATTGATTTAATTTTCGTGAAATAATAATAATTATACTTTCTTCAAGCCCAAAGTTTTTATTTCCTCTTCAATAGAACACCTATAAGATTTCCAAGAATTTTAAATTATTTTTGAAGTTTCTATCATGTTTCACACCAAGCACATTTTTTACTTTACTTTTAACTCTGATCCCAACTGTGCCTAAATGATATTTTTCGAGGACTATGTTTTTTTTAGGATTTACTTAACTGTGTAAATGATATATCTTTTAAAATTTATAAAAGGAACAAAACGTAAGTTTCAGTACTTTAATCGGGTTGATAAAAATTAAAATTTACTGGAAGTTACCAACGATTTCTTTTTTTCTTAAGATCTTAGGGTCTTTTTTGTGCTTTAAAGAGATAACATTTTACTTACCCATTCTTCAAAATCGTTTTCAATCATAATGGGACTTCAGATGGCTATATTTATGGAATATCATTATCGTTATGGGACATCAGCTGTCTCTGGGTCTTAACAGAGTATCGTTGTGTCGACTTATGGCTATCAAAAATTTCGACAGCTAACTAACTGCACTTCTTAGCTGGAGCTAACTCTGACTCCCAGCTTCCAGCCTCCAGCTGCCAGGTCTCAGCACTCGGCTCCCAGCGCCCAGCTGTGTCTCAGGCGTCTTGCCATTACCTTATAACTAGTTTCTGGCTGGTGTCTTGGTCTTGCATAACGCGTCGCTGGGCTGCCGCAGTTGTTGCCTTCTTTGGCTGCAATTTGGCGGCATCTTCGCTGCATCTTCTGCTTTTCTTGTTGTTGATGCTGTTGTTGTTGGTGTCGTTGCTTGGCAAAAGGTTTCGCGCAAAATCAAATATTTTTCCCGCGTTTTGGGCATTGAGGTTGCCACAAAAGTTTCCCATATCATAAAGTCTTACTTATTGATGGCATGACTTGGCTAATCTGATTGCTATTGCCAATTTCTCTATTTGTTTGTTGCAGACGCAACAATCGATGCTTGGCCCTAGTCCTGCTGGCCATGGGCCTGTGCGCCTGCGCACATGCCGCCGCCACGGGTGCACCCTCAGCCACGGCCACCACGGAGAAGCCGAAAGGATTTTCCGCGCGCTCCCTGGATGTGAGTGCTAGCGGCGATGATGAGGATGAGTTTGAGACGCAGGCACAAACACATTTGGCCTATCGCCAGCCGCAGCAGCAACAGCAGCGACAGCTGTACGAGTACAGTGAGGAGGATCAGGAGGAGGCGCCGCGCCAGGTTTACATCAATCGCAACAATGCCAAACAGCAGAACAATTATCTCAAGAAGCGGCCGGTGAGCGAGGAGAGCGAGGAGGAGGAGGAAGAAGTTGAGGAGCCCGATCGTCTGTCCACGCTGCTTAGCAAGTCCTCCTTCAGCTGCACGGATCGCAACTCTGGGTAAGCACAAGGAAAGCATCTATTAAGCTCGTCAATTGTAATTGTAAATGCTCCTCAACAGCTACTATGCGGATGAGTCGCTGAGCTGCGAGGTCTTCCACTACTGCCAGGAGAGTCAGAAGCATTCGTGGATATGCCCCGAGGGCTTCACGTTCCATCAAATCCATTTGATTTGCATGCCCCCATCGCACGACAACATCTGCAAGCAGTCCTCCAAGTACCACATTGTCAACGACTATCTCTACAAGCCAATCAATCTGCAGGAGCATCAAAGCAAACCGAATGTAACGCTGCGCTACTCGGAGCGCTATTTCCCAGAGAACTACTACGAGCACGAGCGCTACGACGACGAGGAGGAGGAGGAGGTGCAGCCAGCGCCCAGGCCACGCATTCAGCATCAGCAGCAGCACCAGCAGCAGCCACAGCAGCATCGTCAAGCGCTTGCCTATCAACCGCAGCAACACCAAGTGCGCGTCCAATACCAACAACAGCCGCAACAGCAGCAGCAGGTCGTCACACAGATACGTCACCAGCAGCCGCAGCCCACGACAATCGCCTATCGGAAGCCATTGCCCACGACAACCATACAGCCACAGATACAACCACAGCTGCAGTTGCATCAGCTGCATCAGCATCATCAGCAGCAGCAGCAACAGCAGAGGCCGCAGACGCTGGCGCCCACAGTAACACCGGCGCCACAGTACCGCTTCTTTACGGCCGCGCCGCTACAGCATTTGCATCAGCAGCAGCAGGTCTACCGTACGCCCGAAGAGATAAATATATCGCTGCAGCAGCGCCGGCCACAGGTGTTCATTGCCTCAACAACGCCGCGCTACTATGAGGATGAGTACCTGTACGAGCGAAGGAAGTGAGCATCATGAGTTGGCCGTCTCGTCTGACCAGCTGGTCGCACTCAATGCAAACAGTCTTGTCGTTCCACGCCTTGTGTTTTGGAGTGTTTCTCTTTAGCTTTAAGCTCTGTCAGCGCCCTCTGTCACTAGACACACACACATGTATATGCTATAACAACTAAATAGTCCCAAAATTTAGCGCGAGTTTTATGTACCTTATTTGTAATATTTAATGTCCTGCTAGAAGAATCCGCCTTCTAACTCATTTCGTTAATAAAGAAGCAACATTAAGTTTAAGATCATCATTGTATGTCAATCTCCATGAACTGATCAGCGTTCGATAGCTGCACCGCTTGGCTCTTGGTGCCCTCCTCCACGACATAGTTCGGGCCAATCAGGCAGTTATTGAGCGCAGAGCCGCTTTTGACTTGGGCACGATATCCAATGATGCAGTTATTTATGTTGCAGCCCTCCTCCACTATCGCATTGGCCATGATGATGGAATTGGTCACAATATTCTTCGGATTCACAATACAATTGGGACCAAAGACGCTGAAGTTAAGCGACGTTTTCTCCGACAACTTGGCATTGTCGGCCACAATGATTTCCTTGGTTTGCGTTGACTTGACCACTGCACCGGGTGAGATGAGGGGATGCGCGTCGCCGCACAGTTCCTGCCAGATGACGGCCAGTTTGCGATTGATGGCCAGGAAACTGAGCGTATTATTGACACGCACGCCAATGGCATCCTTTGGCGCCTGCACCGCAAAACAGCGCACGACGTCTCCGTGGTAAGGTATATGCGAGAGCGATTGATTGAACAGGGAAGTCTGTGTGAGCTTCTGGTCCAGCGCCGTGTGCGTCACATACTTAACACAAATTTGTGTAAAGGGGCTTTGATTGGAGAGCTTACCAATGAAATTAAATACTTTTATAACTTACATGCAAAATGTTATCCTCATGCTTTGTTCCGACGCCCAGCTCAGAGGTCGTATCAGGCGCTATTTTCGTTGAGCGCCTGGCATGTTGTTTTCTAATGAGATGCGGCAAGAACTCGCCCTTAAATGTGGAAATTTGTTCCTTCTACAATAAATAAACTATAATGAGCAATAATACTTTTGCCTTATGTCACGTTTGATATACCCTGTGCAGATAGTTAATCACCCACTTCTTCAACACATAGATGTGCGCATCCAGCAGGCGTCCATAGACATCCAGTTGACCTTTATTCTTGAGCAGATGCCGTTTGATATTTAGCGTATCCTCGCAGTCGCTGGCAGCAAAAATAAATGCCAAACGCTGCGTGGCCGTATGGATGCCGATCAAGTCGCGCTCTGGCTTATACTTGGTCTTGGGACCTGGCATAACCACATCCGATTCAAAGCCGCTTTTGAACAGCAGCAGCGCCAGTGAAGCATCATCTGCACGGAATTTGTTGATCAGCGGATATAAACTGACATTGCTGACTATATCACAGCTGACAACTAGAAAGTCTGATTTGATTCTGAAAGAGAATATCATACATTATATACTAGAATAATAAAAAATTGCAAAAAGTGATGCTGGACTTTAGGCGGCGACCCAAATCCCTCAGGCTCATCACGTTAGCAAAGCAAATTTATACCGTTTAGCCCTACTTTATACAAATTTCAGTTTCGTAGCTCTTATGGTGCAATAATCGCTCACCTGTCGTATATATAGCGCAAGCTGTCGGCTGTACCAAAATCGCTATCATTGGGCACCGTGGCATAGTCGATTTTGACTTTAAGTGGCGTGTGCTCCAATGACAGTTGAATCTCCAGCTTGTCCTGCTCCTGAACCACAACGATTACCTCTTAAAAAATAACACAAGCATCTGCTGTAAGTATGCCTAAGTACGCCTGTCTGCCTTATTATTTACCTGTAAAGTTGTGTCTGCTCAGCATATTGAGTGGATACCATATCAAGGGATAAGGTCCCACAGGCAGCAGACACTTGGGTGAATCGCCCAGCACTTCGGGCAGGCGTGTGCCACGCCCCGCAGCCAAAACTACAGCTTGAAATTCACAACTTGACATTTTTATGCGAAAAATAATAATATAATTCAAATATGCCAACACGCGTGAACAACAGCGAAAACGCAACACAGCTGTTCGAGCAGCAAATGGCGTTTACCAACACTGTCGCCCAAGGGCCATATGTTGCTGTCACATGACTGCACTTGCATTGTTTTTGCAATTGTAAAAAGTAGTCAGATGACCCATTTTTTTCCATAGATTCCCTTAATTTGATGCACTTTTCATCTGAATTACAACAATTATGATGCTCCATGAAACAACAAAAGACTTTAATGCATGATTTGAGCGCTACATAACTACAAAATGGAATACATACATTTTTCTTATTGGAATTACACTATATACTTTAAGCTTACAAAGTTTGCACGTAGCTACATACAATAAGTTTTTTTGTTTTTTCGCGAATTAAAATGGAAACGGAACAAATAATTAATCTTTTTTTATAACAATAACATATTGCTGGAATACACACACGTATACGCATGCTATGGGATTAATACTTAGAAGAGCACATCATCATCGCCCTCATCGAGTATGTTCGCCTGTTCGCGCACATCGATGCCCTGCTGAAGGAGTAGAGCCTTCTTGGCATCTGCCTTGATACGGGCTTCACGCTTCTTGTCCTGAATCTTTTTCAAACGATAGAACTCCTCACGCTCCAGTTCGTCCAGCTCCGAAATGATGTAGGCCAGTGTGCGATCGATACGCGGTATGATGACATGCTCGATGGCATTCACACGACGATTTGTGATCTTGATGACCTCGTCCAGTGTGACGAACGATGTTTGCAGCGAAGCCAGCTCGACGAGCAGCTTGACGGCGCTCTGGTAGTTCTTCTTCAACTTGGCCAGCTGCTGACCACCGCGGGCCAGACCAGCCAGTTCGTAGGTATCCGCACCATCCTGATAAGACTCGAAGACGGGCAGCGTAACGCCAGCAACGTTGTCTTTTTTGGTGCGTATCTTGATTTGTGCCTTGGTCACGTTTTGCAGCACCACCTGATTGATGTCACCCGATGTGAACTTGGCCTCGGCCAGCGAAAAGGCGGCCTCTTTCATAACATCGCCCATCAGGGTTTTCGTCTCAATGATTTTACCCAGAATCATACGGAAACGCATTTGCAATGCATCAGCTTTTTTCTTGAGCAAGCCATGGCCTTTTTGAGCGCCAGCGAGACGTGCCTTCATTAACATTTGGGCACCACGCGACGGGAAAATCGGTAACCTCTCTTTGCCAGACATTTTCGTATTATTTTAACTGTTGTAAAGGCTAATTACTCGACTTTTTTACTGCGCACCAAAATTTTGCACACCCGTCGAAGAACACTGAAAAACTCCAACTGGACTGGATAAATACAGTGTTGGGTAAGGCCACAGTAACTTAGATAAAGTGCTGCAAAACACATAGCAGCAGCTGCTGTCACGGTTGCCAACACGGTTACAGTAGGAAAGGTTTATTTGTACCAGAAATAAAAAATAAATTTAACATTTATCTAAAATGAAAATTTGCTATCTTATAAAAGTATTTGTTTACATATTTGGTACATTTTATTAAAACCAGTGTACTCATTTATAGTACTGCTTAACGCATCGTAGCAACAGTGCTGTGCAGCAATACAACTAAACAGCTGTTTGATAAAAGCTGTAAACAAATCGAAGGCGCCCTTCGTAAATTTCTAAATAATGCAAATATTACAACGTTTGTATTGCTTGCCGGCTACACCAATACAAAGCTATTTCCGACACTACGCCAAGAAACCAAAATTGGGCATGGCGATCAACCGGCGCATGGTGCACCAGGAGTTATTGCGTTATGTAAACCCTTATGCACGTATTAATATTAAATCGGACATATCCGTGCATGTGGAGCCTGCTGATGTCCATGTGCACACCAGTGGCAATGTGTTTATAGCACAGCTGCTCGGTGGTCCAATGTCCAACTGCAAAGCCAAGCTGGATGTGGATGTTTGTGATGATGAAAAGGTCGTGAATGTGTTAGTTAAAAAGCTAACCGAACAAAACTCGCATTTTAAATGTCATGTGAAAATTCCTGTACAAGCCGAGGTGCACATTGATGCGGACGCCAAAGTTACAGTACAGGGCATTCAAGGCGTGGCACTAAAGATTAAGGCATCTGGGGACATAGTCACCAAGAACGTGCGCGCCACAGACATTTCACTATATAGCGAAAATGGCAATATCATCTGTGAGGGCACGCTGCTGGGCAAGTGCACAGAAATCGAAACACACAATGGGGTAAGAAGCTGCCGCAATTGTCCATATTAGCACTATTTAATTGTAAATTATGCTCAACAGAACATCAATCTGGACAAGCTGCAGGGCGACAGCTTGAAATGCTCCACACAGGCTGGCGACATTAACACAGATAGCTGTTATGTGCAGAAATCCAAGTTTGAAACTACAACCGGGCGCATGGAGCTTAAGAATGTGCACAAGACAAGCGAAGTGTATGTGCACCAAGCGGGCGACCTAAAGATGAGTGAGTTTATAAAGCTATAATCCATCAAATCATTTATATATTGGCTTGTTTTCCAGCCGGCGTACATGGCAACCTGAGCGTGGTTTCCAATGGCGGCAGCATGAACTTGCAGCTGTCCGAGCTGAATGGCAAAAGTAATATTGTGGCGCAGAATCTCATAGACGAAGCCATCATCAACATATCCGAGGCCATTGAGAATATTACCATAGAAGTAAAAGCCAGTCAGGTTAATCTAAACAACGAGCTGGAGCATGTGTCCCATGCACTGAGCGAAGACAAAAGTAAATTCCTCCTGAACAATGGCAATGAGCATCATTTAGTCATCAGCAGCACCGGGGAGAATGGCGTGCGCCTGGGCAAGCAGTCCTGGACTGATTCATTGCGTCAAAAAATAAAATTAGCTGAATAAAATTAAGCTTTAACCAATAACCCTAAGCACTTACAACACATTAGTTGATAGTTTCTTTTATGTGTATATAAGTATATGTATTTATGTATGAATTGTGCATATGTGCAACAATTTTCAGTCCTGTTTATGAGTATTATTATTTGGCTTGGCCAGTTACGTCATTTAAAACTGCGCTGAGGCGCTGATGTGCCCTCTGAATGAGCACATCTTCGACCTGTTCCGCTTGCAAAGCAGCGCGCAACATTTCCACTTTGATGGCATCAATTTCTTGTATATCCTTCGCCAAGATTGGGGCGTCAGCTCTGACGAGCATGTGACCCAGCAGACGTAGCAGTTTGAATGCATTTTCCTCGTACTGCGAACGCGGCTCATCTTCGTAGGCATCAAAATCATTTTCATCGTATTCGGCATAATCTTCAATGTGCCGTCGCAGAATTGACCAGACGCCGAGCAGATGAGCAAAAGCTGCCTTGTCATAGAAATATTTCAGACACTGAAAATGAATAGCGGGATTCAGTTAGGATTACAATTTGTAGAGCTTTCAATACGCACGCTGCATATGTGGGCTAAATCCTCTAGGTATTCCTCCTGTCGCTCGCCCAGTGGCAGCAGCTGCATGGGCTGCTGCAGAAATTGTAAAATGCGGGTCAAACAAAACATAATGCTGGATGCATATAGATCCATGGATAACTGCGCTTCTGGCAGCTGCACTAATATGGTGCATATATTGAGGTAGGTTTGGATTACTTCGATTTCGCAGTTTATTTTTGGTGTGCTCGCCTCGTCGCCATCCTCATCCGCAGCGGGATCATCAACGCCGCCTGGTGGCTGCTCAGCCGAAACGCTATCGACCTCATCTGTTAGCTTTGCCAGATCGTCGCGCATGAGACGCACAAAAGCGTTATTGACGCCATCGCATAGCTCCGGCACTAGAAACACTTCGGAGAAGGGTTTAAGCTTAATGTCGGGCGTTTGGGCGTTCTCCTCCTCCACCAGAGCACAGCTGGCCAGCACAGCATTAATGGCCTTAAGCGCAGCTATCAGCAGCTCATCGCTAACAGATTGCTGCAGTATGAAGCCGAGATTCTTTGCTGAGCTATCGAAGGCGGCAAAGCAAATGTACCAATCGATGGCCAGCTGCTCTTTGCCGCTGACCACATGCGCCATGACATACTGATAGACACGCATCAGCTGGAGCAGCATGCATGTGTCCATGCAAGTGCTCAGCTTTAGCAGCATCTCAATCCAATCCGCGTGTGCTGTCAGCTGCTCCACACATTCCACCTGCGCGCACATGTTGCCCAGCAGTCCAATAAGTATCTCATACAGGCGAACATCTTCGCTCGATGAGATGGCAAACATGATTAGCTCGATGGCATCATTCTCCAGTAGCAGGGCGACTACTTCCGGCGACACAGACATATCCCACACCTTGCACAAATCATCCTCTAGCTCCAACCCCAATGCTGTCTGCGCTGGCTGCTGGCTGAGACGCATCAGTGTCTGCAATATGAATTTTTTGCTGTACATTGTCTCGCCAACGGCATCACCACGCATGCGCTTAAGCAGTTCGTTCTCATCAGCATCTGCAGCATCCTCATTGTTTTGAATTCCGTTGGGTTGGGGCGAATTTGACTCTGATTTATTTTCACCGTTTTGAGTGCCATTCGACTCCGATGTGGCACCTTCATTTGGTTTGTTTTCTGACCGAAGCGGCATCTTGTTTTCATCATTTACCACTGCACCAACATTATCTATTTCCGCGCTGTCCACATCTTTGGTCATCTTGGCTGGTGTCTGGCAGAGTTCCGGAATTAGTTCGATCGAACGATTCACTAAACTGAACAAATGAACCGATTTAGCAGTTCATCCACTTCGATACACATAACATTTTCTGTTTACATTCAAAAGCTCAGCATGTTACTGAACTGTTATTAACAGCGCGCACTGCTGTGCGGTTATTCGTTTTTAGGTTTTGTTAAAATCATATTTGAATTCGATTTTAAATTTAAAGACATTTAACTGGTGTCAAAACACTTTTCCTAATTTAGTTTTTTAACTAATGTTCCCGTATCGGGTCTTATTTAGTAATTGTTTATGCTCTTACGGGGAATTGTGTTGGCTAACAGATACACAATCCGACTTGCTTTCATTGTACATTTTATATCCTAGGATAACTCTATACATGAGTCGTATATTATAAATTTATTCTAAGCGCTGTCTTTTAATGAACACATCCAGTAAATGGGAAATGGGAATTTCTGTGGAGGGTTTCGCTTGCGGAGGTGCAGCATTATTGCGATGTTGAGGAAATGTTGGCATCATGCGCGGATCACACGCTAAAAACAAAAATTGTTTACAATATGCAATAACTTATTAGCTGTAACGACTTACGCTGCGGCGGCTCAGTAAAATATTTACTGCTTAAACATTCGTCGGCGGTGGCTCGAGTGCTGGGATTGTAGATAAATAGAATGTTTAGCAGACTTCTGCCCGCTTGGCCGAGCATTTGGAATTTGGTTTTCAGATTATTGTAGGGCTGCTGGCTGAGCGTAAAGTTTTGCACAGCTGGTAACTCCAGGAAACCTGGCCAAATTGATTCGGAGGGGGCACCAAGCAGATCAATAATCATGTCAAGCTGTGCAATCTCCGAATTGCCCGGCAGCAGCGGTTTGCCCAGCAATAGCTCGCCGAGAATGCAACCAAATGCCCACATATCAACGGCTGTGGTGTGCGTCCTGGCGCCGAGCAACAGTTCCGGTGCCCGATACCATAGCGTGACCATTTGCGGTGTCATAGGTTTTGGCGGATTGCCATACAGACGCGCCAGACCGAAATCCGCTGTAAAAATTAAGAATGATTAGATCTGTAAATGGGAATAAATTGGATTCGCCACTTGCCGACTTTGATGCAGCCCTTGTCCGTCATCAGCAGGTTGGAGACTTTCAGATCTCGGTGTATTATATAGCGGGCATGCATGTACTTCAAAGCACGTAGCACCTGTAGCGTTATGCACTTGACCTCAGATTCGGTAAACGGCTGCGACATATTGTCCAGCACCGACGCCAGATCCTGTTCACAAAAGTCCATTACCAGGAATATGCTGCGTGGGATGACAATATTTATAAGAACTGGGAGTCTCTTCTAATTACGGATTCGGATACCTGTCGAGGCTTTTGCCTACAACAACTTCGCGTAATCGCACAATGTTCTCGTGCTGGCAACGTTTTAGTATCATAATTTCACGCAGTCCACTGACGGGCAAGCCATCCTTTTCCTGATCCATGCGGACCCTCTTCAGAGCAACAATTTCGCCACTACGTGTGTCGCGTGCGCGATCTTGTGTATAGATAAGAAATAAAAGGTTCAGCAAATATTTGTGTTCAATACAAAGAGATTCGCACTCACAAACAATACCATAGCTCCCCTCTCCCACGCGGTTAAGCTTCTCAAATTCGGATACGGGACGGCATCGACCATACTGAAAAATACAAACATTGTTTATTTAAGCCGGCACTAGCCAAATGCATACTTAATACATACCACATTTTGTTCCGGTATCGGCATGGGTGTGCCACTGTTCTTCAGTGATATCAGGAAACCCTTGCGTGTTATGGGTGCTTGAGGATCTGGCGCTGGATTTGCTTCCAATTCACTTGATTTTTTCCCGCTAGACATGTTTATTTATTTTCAAGAATGGTTGCTCGACATGAAAACACAAATAGCTCAAGTATCGATACTTTTGCAACTCCCGCAAGAATGCATAGGGCTGCATTAAAAGTGTTATCAAAATGGGCGCGGACCGTTAAGAGTATCGGTAGTCAAAAAAAAATCATTCTTCAATGGTATAAAATTTGCTTATGTTAATTATTAAAAAAAAAAAACTGCGTATGCATTTCATAATAGCAAATAGCTTATGGGCAATTTGAGCAGGGTGCGTAAAAACAAAAGTGGCTAGAAAATCAAGCACGATTTATGAAAGTGAAATTGCGCCAGTTTAAAGAAATTTCGTTAGCATATCATTTCAAATGCATGCTCTAGACATTAAAAAAGACGACGACTAACGCTAGCCAGCAGCTTGTCATCCATCCACATCTACGCATGTGTTAAAATCTTTGGATAAAGCCACAGCGACTCTACTATCAATTATCACCCTGAACTTGGGATAAACAGCAACAAAGCTCTTGAGCGGGCCAATATAAATGTTGGAACCGGCGTCGAGTGCATCATCAGTTCTGCAGCAGCTGAGCCAAGTGCTACAGTGCTACACACAACACATACGTCCCCTCCTAAGACGCAGGAATATATACACAATTAAAAAAAAATGAATAAAACTACGATTTGGTATGCAGCTGTGCTGCTTGTGGTGTACTTCACATTGGTGTTCTGTGAGGAAACGGCAGAAACAGAAAACGCGGAAACTCAAATAATGAACACGAACTCGGATATGGAAACGGATGCGGAAACGTTACTTAACACTGGCCGAGATCTGTTGGAATTCGAGGGACGCACACGTCGCCATGGCCATCGCTTCTGGTGTAAGTTTTTTTCTTATTCGCAAATGAAAACAATCTATTACTATGCAATAGCTGGAGCCGTAATATTTAGCACTTACTCCCATTCTAAGCAGCTGTTTTATCAGAGCGATAAGATGGGTGCACCTGCTAATCAGCACCCGGAGACTTTCTTTCGAAAGTTTCCAAATATATTTATCTCTCTCAATCTCTACCAATTGGATCATCACGATCTGCACGTACCGTTCAATAACAAGTCATTAACACTTTTCACTTTCAATCTGAGCATATATTAAACAATTGTGAATTGTCGTAGATCACGTCCAAGTGATCTTCCATTGGGTTCTGTGCGTCTCCAGTGAAAGTGTTATCTAATCGGATTTGTTGTTACAGTTCGTCATCTGTGGCCCCTGGCCATTGCCTATTGGATTAAGGTGAAAGTGGTTATAGTCTCCTTCTTTCTGGGCAGCGCCATTTACTTGGGCCTGCGCTACTTTTGGCCACATGCCCGATGCAATCAAGAGATAATTCTGGATCACCCGTAAGCATAGGAGCAGCCTTTTCATATAACAATATTTACTATATTCTTCATACAGTCCTTCATCCTTTGGCCACGATCACATTCCCTACTCACTGGATCATCATTCGGAGCACGAGCATTATGATTCACCCAGCTCATATGACTCAAGTCCCTCGTTTGATCCCTACTCCGGTTACTCGAGTTATTCTGGCTACTCAGGCAGCTCGGATATTATGTCCGACATTCACGGCGAACCTACCGGAACCACTGGACCCACCGGCCCCTCAGATACGCGTCGTCGCGGCAGACGCAGCATTGATATTCTTGATGTCGAGGATAATGCTGCTGTTGAGCAGGAAGAGCCAGTGGAGATTATTGATGAAGAGATTTCCGAGAGCGTAGCACGCCAGCAGCCCGCCGAAGAGCAGTGAGTAGCCGTTAAATATTATCCTATTTGAGTTGTCTTTGATCTATTTAACTTTTATAGAATCGCCGAATTTATGTTTGCCTTTTTGGGCCTGGACTCTAAGGCCTGCCGTCGCCGTTTTGTCTGTGAGATGGAGTTCCGTTCCAAGCTGAACCCGCTATCGAGCATGGCATTCCGCATAGTGGGTCGCGGCTTCTTCGAGAAGTACACGAACGCGCGCAATCCACAGACGAGAGCTACCAATTTCCTTGAATGTGCCGCCGCGAATCCCGAGTGTGTTTTTGTTGAGAACACCGATCCAGAGATTAAGCCTGCCGAGGAAGTAGAAGCCACTGCGTCCACCGAGGCAACTGAGCAGGAGAACACGGTGGAATCGCAGAATGAAGTGAATTTAGAAGCTGAGCGCCGCCATGCTCAGCAGAGGAAGCGCCGCGGGGATCGCATGCTCAGCTCGATTGCCGAGCACATATTGACGCAGTAGAAGAGCCCTAGGCGTGTATTTATTTATTTATTTAATTATTTATTTTAGCTATAAGAGTGATGAATGAAACTAAACATGCACAAAATAAACTTGCCTCAGCCATTAAACAAAACATTTATACAATTATTTGTTCCGGAAAATGCAATTAAACAAATGCTAAATTTTCACTCAAGGCGCAAATCTCATACTTCAGCAAGGAATGAGTAAAAAAAAACTAAATAGAAAGAAAACAATTACCGAATACCGATGGTGACTAAAATCTTAGACCTGGACTGGACTAAATCTTTTTGACCTTTCTCTTTTTGATTGCATTTATCTGATCGGCCATTTGCTCGATCTCTCGCTGATTAATGGGCTCGTTTTTTCTGACGCTCGTCTTGCCCTTTTGTTGCTGCGTCAAGTCTGCGACGAGGTCGCTCACCTTGGTCCAAACAAAGCTGAGGAAATTCACAGCCAAATCCTGCTTGAAGAAGGCAATGGCCACCAGCGCTATGAGCACCAGCGCAGATATGGAATTCTGATTGAGATCTGCTTCAGTTGCGCGCACCTCCGCATTGAATTCCAGCTTCATATAGACGGAGCATCTGTCGGCAACAAAGCTGAACGAGGGCAGCTTGTACGAGTACGTCTTGTCCGACAGCGTCGATTGCAGCTCCACCACATAGCTCTTGCCGTCGCGCGGTATGCGCGGGAAATACACCATAATGCCGGGATTAAAGCTAGCCTTGGGATTCAACGGCGAGGCCACGCGCTGCGAGAACACAGGTGAATCGGAGGCGCCATGTCTGTACATCACAATTCGCAGCGTCTTGTAGAAGTCATTGTGCGAGGCGATGATGCGGGCCGTAATGTCCACAATCTTTATGGGATTAATGGCAATCAGATTAATGTTGCGCACATCCTCATTGGCCACAGTGATCGTATGATTTTCAGGTATGGAGCGGTCTACTTTTTCATCGTCCGTCACAACCCGCACCGTATACGTGCAGCCGGGCTGTAGGCCGCGTATGCGATATTGGCCATTATTCTCGCTGGTCGCTTCCTCTACCTGGTGCTGGCAGCTCTCTGTGGCGGTGGCCTGCACATTAACCTCTGCAAAGGGCTCACCATTAAGGGATGTAATCTGGCCAAAGATGGAATAAGCAAATCGCTTGCCACTGCAAAGAGAATACACGAATTACAGCTGGAGACATGGGTCTAAAAGGTAGCGATGGGGCTTACGTTAGGGTGACCTGCACGGTTTCGCCATCCTTGATGTCAATAATTTTGGAATTGGGCTCAAACTTGTACTCCTTCATCATGGGTCGCAAAAAGTACTGCGATGGCGAAAGCGAATGGAAATTGATGGCACCATCGTCGCCAGCGACCAGATTCTTGCGAAAGCTTTCTCCGCCGCTAAGCGAGAGCAAAACACCGCTGAGCGGCTGGCCGGCATCGTCCTGCACCTTGACCTCAATCTCGCAGAGCTTGTGTGCACTAAACGAATTCGACTGGCGATCGTACTCGCTAAACACATAGGACTCCTTCTCGGCGGAGAGCTCGAATTTCAGCGAATCATCGATGGGCCCGAATTTGAATTCGCCCGTAATCGAGGTGAGCGTCTCAATGGACTCACGTGGCGGCTGCTCGGGAAAGCTGAGCGTTATCTTGGCATCCTTAATGGCGGGCACAACCTTGCCGCGCAATATGAGCCCACGTGTGGCCACAAAATTGAAAGCAATATCCACGCAATCACTGCTGCCCACCACCTGCTGATGCTGCGGGCTAAAGAGCAGCACATCGCTCAGTGGCTTTATGTTGAGGATTTCGTCTGGTTTAAGATATGTTTCATAGCGATATGCGTATTTGCCATCCACTTTATGTGATTCAGCTGTGGGCGTTATAATTTGCCTGCCAAGCGTTTCCGATTCCACAGCAAGTCTCAGTGAGTCTGCATTTGGTTCTGGGGACAGGACACGCACGCCCGTCTTGTGCGCAATGGCATTGACAATTAACGTTTGCAGTTGATCTGGTTCAGGTGTGATGAATTTACTGGGCAGCGAATCATCATAAATGTGACAGCCCTCCAGCTTGAAGTCGTAGCTGCCGTATTTGGAGACGCAGAAGGTATTGACGCCCGAGAGGATCTTGAGCGTTTCAACGGGCGCCTTGGGCTCCGAGGGTCCTGTAACATGAATGTATCGCATCTGCAATATTGTTAGATGATATAGAACTTAGCTCTGCCAGGGGGTTTAACAAGTGTCACCTACCAGAGCGCGATGGCTGGAAATTATGGACACTTCATAGCCCTTGTGTATCAAAGGCGGCGCATTCTCCTCCGCAGCGGCGACATTTAGAAAGACGCGCGTAGATTCATAGCATAGATTACCCTGTGGAATTGTAATTTCATAGGGCCCAGGCAGCACATCCTTAAACGTATATTTTCCACCTGAAAGGAAGCGGTATGTTAACTCAAGAATATATGTTTAATTTGTATACATACGATGCGCTCTGGCCTTCCATTTGTTGTCTGTTGGCTGACCGGTGGCGTCCAGACCCTGCAGCGTTACCTCAGCCGCTGTGCAGGTGGCCGTGGCATCCGGCAGGCACTGCAGCTCGCCACGTATGGTGGCGCGCAGCTGTGAGAAGGTTATGCCATTAACAGGAGCATCGAGCACTTCGGCCCGCTGCTGCACAGGGAAGAATTGAATGCCGTTTGATTTGTCCGCATCCGTGGTGAGCACCTCAACGTTGTATTTGCCAGCGGGCAGATAGGCGCACCAGACGCCGCTCTCTGCCTTCGTCGCGGTGGTTGTGTGAAAGGTGGAGCCCGTTTTTGTGATGCCCACCACATAAGATTTGGGGGAGACAACTTTGCCGCATACTTCATAAGCAGCGGGCACAATTGTGGGCAATGTGGGCGAGGAAATCTGCGTCTTCACCTGCAGCGACTCAAATTGCAGCTGCGGGTATTCGACTTCAATGTTGTAGCTGCCGGCTTTAATGTTCTCCAGCGTGTAGCTGCCCGTGGCGTCCGTTTCGGCTACCTTTTCATTGTTCACCTTCACTATGGCGGATTTGAGGGGCGCGCCCCCAGCGGCGCTCAGCACCTGACCCGTGACAGTGAAGCCGCTAATCGAGAACTGCTCCTTCAGCTGTAGCGTGTCCTTGCCCACCTCCACTTCTAAGAATTTGGGCGTGAGATGCAGTTTTAAGTTCTGATTCTCGTTGACGGCCTGCAGCAAATATTTGCCAGTGGGCACATCCTTGAAGCTGTATTCGCCCTTCTCCGCCAGCACATAGCAAGCGGCAGCGCTCTCGTACTCATTGTTTAGCTTATTAGAGGGCGCATTAGGAATTGTCGCGCACTTGGGCTGAAGATTTTGCTGTGGGTAGAAAGCAGAGAATATAAATTACATATAATAATTCGTGAGAAGTGCATAGAAGGGCAATATTTAAAACTATATAATTTTAGCTTCGGGAAGTTATTGACATGCATACAAATTTACAGATGCATTGCATGGTTAAATACGTGCACATAAAATTGAATAACTGAGTCGTGAAAATTGTAAGGCTACCTTGAATTGATGAGAATCGCGTAGGAGGGCAACAACTAAAAATGCGTTATTTTTAATTCGCATCGCAATGGGGCATGTTATCACAAAAGTAAAGTAAATTTGGTTTGTACAAACATATCTATCTAAATATGGCGTATTATTTGGGTCAAACAATTTGATATTTACAAATAGAGCATAAATATTCAACTGATCAGCTACTTACACCCTTTTTCTTATAGAGCACAACTGCAATATTAGCTGGCAGCTGGGTGCTAGCATCGAAGCGTCCATTGATATCAAAGCCGGAGACCACCAACGAGTTCTCCGGCAGTTCCGTGTTGCCGCTGACCACGACCACATCATGTTTCGCCTTGGCGAAATGCCACCTGGCATGCGTGGCGCTTACCACATATTTGCCGGGTATGATGGGCGTAAAGAAGAAGATGCCATTGATGTCCGTTTTGGTGCGTCGAATCTCGCCCTGCTCCGACTTAAGCTCAACATCTACGTCACGTGCACCGCTGCCAGTGGCGAGCGCCACTTTACCGGTGATGCCAAAACCCTTGAATACGAAATTCACGTCTTTGCCCTGACTGCACACGTCATTCTTGCCGTCGAAATTGAGCTCAACGTGTTCGGGCTCAAAGCTCCAGCCGGGTGGCGGCGCGATGGTTAGCAAATATTCGCCCTTGTCGTAGATGGGCAGAAAATAGTAGCCATTCGAGGGTGAGCAGTCGGTTTTATCTTTTAGCGAGCCCTGCTTGGTTAAGCTGCGGGCAGAGTATTAAAATCTTATCAGTAATTTATTAAATTATTTATGAAAATCTCATTTACGTACAGTTTTATTTCCACCTTGGAAAAGTCAATATCGGCATGACTTTTTATAAAACCACCACAGCCGATCACTTCGTTCGACTGTGCGTTTATTTGACTAATTATATTAATTAAAATTAATATAAAGCCGGAAAACAGACTTGCCGACCTCATTTTTTCACATTCGACTTTACGCTGCCAGCTGAAAGTGCAGAGCTGTCGAGTTCGTTGGCGCACAGGTTTGATTAGCAGCGATATCGATATATCGCAACCACAACCTCACACAGGTGTTGCGATACTTTGCAGGACAGTGCTGACGATAACTAATATCGATTTCGATTAGGTGCACAATAAAATTTACGTGTGGTGAATAACGAACTAACTCAACTAAAATTTTAGCGGTTAAGAATTTGAAATTCAACTTCGCAGGATATAAGATTTTAAATTGGTAAATATTTTATTTCATCTGCAATATATATATGAATCATATGTGTATGAAGTCTGTCTAGCTGATATTAATATGTCTTCCACATAATGTATTGACATTGAAATCATTTGATTGCTGGAGAAATAAGCATGTCAGATATTAATTATCGCAACGAATTTTAATTACGCTCAACTGCGATACAGCAACAGCAACAAGTGCGCGCTGTCTCCCCCCTACCCCCGCCCCGTATAGAGTATATGGTTAAACGATCTGCCAGGCGCAGACAACACACAGATACAGATACAGATAAAG